CCGTCCTTGTGTGAGTGATGTATGGAAGTCAGCACGTGCTGTTTCTCTGTGTTGAGAGTTGCAGGAGGTCCCCTGCTTGGACCACAGTGTGGATGTTGGAACCTTTCCTCCCTGTGAGCTGGAAAGGGGTTTGTGCTGTGGCTTTTAAGGCCTGGGTGATCAGAGTTTCAGAGTGTTTGGGTAGACTAAACTCTGGTCACATCAAGGTGTTGACTACAAGTAGAAATTTATAGTTCAGAAGTAAACTGGGCAATTAGCTTCTTGATACATTCATGCTCAGTGATCTCTAATATTGTTAGTTTAGGTAGTTCCTCTGACATTAATCAACAAATTGCTTGTGTTTAAATGGCTTGTCATAAAGGAGAGTTACTTCTTGTATCTTTCTGAGATGGTTTGAGGTGGGGTGGTTTTTTGGCATATGCATTAGAAGGATGCAGAAACCAACCTTCCATACTACTAACCTCAGGCTGTTAATCCCCTCCAGCTGCATGTATTTGCCTTGAGGAGCTTGAGCTGCTCACTCCCTGTGTGAGACAAAAGGCTGGAAAACTGATTTGTGTCATTTGGTTTTTCAAATGTTTGAAAGGGTGAGTTAGAGGAGAAGGCAGCACGGGCTGTCTGTACCCACAGTGCCAGCAGGAGGGGGTACCACTTGGGGTTTGGGCTCAGTTGTTGAGTGTCTGGGACCTGCTTGCACTAGTACCAAGTGCAGGATGATGTTTCCTCTCCCCGTGAATGGTGTGGTGCAGTTGCAGGACACTGGGCAGATCCTGGTGCCTGTTTTTCCACAAGCTGGGAAGGCCGGGGCAGCAGCCTGGGAGTCCCTTGTGCCCTTCTGTTAATAAGTCCCAGCCCAGCAGCGAGGAGGGACAAGCTGCTCCGTGGCAGCTGTTGTGACATGGCAGTTGTTCTGCCCAAAGATGTCTGTCTGGAGACCACCTGCTTGTTCCCTGCCAGCCAGGAGCTGAATTAAGAGGATTTGTAGTTGTCTGTCAGCTGGCTCTGCCTTCTCATAACAGTGCCAACCTGAGCAAGTATTTCTTCAGTGACTGACTGTGATTTAATCTGAGGGAGAATTTTCTCTCTGTTTGCAGCTCTTTTGTGTTCTTGCCTTTAGAAAAGTAATGAAGGGTTATAAGCTAAATCCAAGTATTTTAATGTTGGTTTGCCTTTCCCTTTTACTTAGTGGACTGAGCTGAAATGTTCTTTGTTTTTTTGAGTGATGGAAAGGATTTTCTGCATCAGGGCTACATAAGGCAGAGCTGTAATGTGGTTATTTGAGGTCAGTGATCACATCAAGCCTTGGAATATCAATCTGTCCCTTATTCCTGTGACAGAGGCTTTGCAGTGCAGCTGCAAGGGCAAACCTGGCTGGTGAAGAGGTTCCCCCAGCTACTGGTTTCTCTCTATTCTTACGTTATTTGAGTTACACTGAAAGACCACAAATGTTTTCTACATGGGTGTTTTTATTTCTAATTATTTCTAATTGACATGGAAATGTTAGAATCTTCACTTGGTATTTCAGCACTTGAGCAAAATCCTCTTAGGCCACAGCTGTGTGTCCAGGACCAGGGTGTCATTTCTGTCTTCTGGAATTTGCTGCTTAAAAACCTTTATTTGGTGCAGAATCACTTTTTTGCTTCTGTTGCCTGTGAAGACTAGTGGAAAACCTACAGATGTGTTGTGGCTTTGGTCCTGTTTGATCACCCCAGACCCAGATGTGTCCCTCATGAAATCACCTCACTGGCTTTGCTGCTTCAAAGATCTGTTTGTATTGCTGGTTGGTGTGCATAAATGTGTAAGGGGGGGGAGTCTTTTGTTGCCTTTGGAAGATTTTTGCCCTTATTGTTCGGGAGGAACCTCAAGCAAAGAAGTGACTTTGCTGTATAAAAAAATCTTCCAGAACAGTGGTGATGCAGAAAAGAACTGGGGGTTCCTCCTGCTGTCCATGCTTCCAGCTGTTTGTGTCTCCTGCAAGAGGTAAAACTGGGATCTGCAGCAAAGGAAGAAGTGGCTGAAAAATTTCACAGGTCTAAGAATACTCTTTCCAAGGTGTATTCCAATGCTAGTGTGTTTTTCTGAAGGACAACATTTGAAAAGAAGATATGGTGAGGGAGCCCAAGAATGCCATCTCATCTGGATTCAGGTTTTTGCCTGGTGGTGTGGGTGCTTCAGGCTGTCCTGTGGCTTCCTGTGACAAAGGAACCCTACTAAAAACCTGAAACTTTGACTCTTTCCTTATTGATTTTAATTATCATCTTTTGTTGGCATGTTTGTGTGAAGAATAAGCTCCTCTGGTGACCTTTTCATCGATTATCTTCCCATGGTTTGTTGGGGAACCTTAGCTAGAGGGTTGTGCTGAAGGTGGGTTTGTTCTCAGTGCTGTGAAGCAGCTGTGAGTTTAAGCAGACTATGTGGATTGAGGTGGATTAGTGACACTCCAGGTTTTTGGATTGGTGGTGTTTTTTGTTTGGCCATAAATGCAGAATTGTTTTATACTTTAATTTCACTCTTAGTGGGAGCCATCGATGCTTGCTATCTTGTTGCATTTTATGTATTTATTTTGGTGCTGTATTAATGTAAAATACCGTGTTAAACTTGGTGCAAAAAGCTCTGGCTTTAAACCTGTGCAAAAAAAGCAAATGTAGCAGTTGAGAGGTTTTCTCCCTTAAGTATGTTTTAGTGGTTATGAGGGTTTTTCTCCATTCAGTGTTGCCAGAACGAAGACTCTGTACCTTCAGAGAAGTAGCTGTTGCATATCTTTTGCTTTTTTAAAAAAAAATTTCCTGAGGTTTGCCTCCCATGCAGAACTAAAGATGTCTGACCACAGTGTACTGGGATTTACTGGGGAAAAAGGTGCCTGTTGCTCTAGATACGTATTTAGAGAAAGTGCTACAGGTTGGGGATGGGCAGGCTGGGATGGCTGGTCTGCAGTTGGAACCCAGCAGCTTTGCTTTTTGAAAGAATTTACTTGTCGTGGCATGTGGATGTGATGACGACCAAGGCTGTCTGGGTAGTAGAAATGGGATTATTTAATGGGAACTCTGGCACCTGAGCTGCTACGCTTTTGTTTTGGCATCTGTGCAAATCTTAAGCCTGTAGTTTAGCAGGTACCTGCTTTCCCTGCTCCTTTGGATTTACCTTTCTTTGATTGCACTCCAATTGGCACAGCTGAGATCAAAGCTCAGGTTTTTATTCAGGCTTGTATAAGGTGCTGGTGCAAATGGAAAATGATGGGAGCTTTAGGGCTGTTACCCTGATGGATGCATCGAACCTGTGCACATCCAGGGATTGATAGTCACTTGTTTTTAAACCAGACAAAAAATAACACAAGGTAAATCTTCTATGAAGAGATATAAAAATACACAGCACTGCCTTGCAGCGATCATCCTTTTTGGCTCAGCAGCCCTGAGGACACTGCTGAGAGGGGTCTGACCCACCTAGCAATAGGATTTCTGTGGTGTTCTGTGCTCCTGCTGCAGAATTCCCCCACGTGCAGGCTTCCCAGTGAGCTGATGCCAGGGCTGGGATGGGCTTTTCAGTAAAGATGCTGGATTAACTGGGGCATCTGAGGGAGTCACATGCTTCATTTTGCCATCCTGTCTAAGGTCAGTAATTCCAACTAAAGATTGCTTCAGCTGCTGTGGGGGATTCAGCTGTGGCACCTGGAGCTTCTGGTCAAAAAACGATAAAGCAGTGGCCAGCAGGGAGGAGCATGAGGTGCTGGAGGTTTTTTAAAAGGCTGAGGGCAAAAGCCTTCAACTAGATTCTAACAGCAATGAAGACTGACTGTTTCTGCTGCTTTCGTGACTCTGGGATAGCTGATGTGAGTTGGTAGGAGTTATGAGTTAGGTAAGATTGTCACAGTTACCTGCCTGTCCTGAGGAGAGGGCTGAGAAAAATGCAGCTTTGGAAACTGAGCCTTCTGTTCTTTAAAGGCTCCTATTTCTTGGTTACGATTCATACACGAGGCAGGACATCTGGGGAGTCCTACAGGTATTTGTGTCCTTCAGATCATGCAGATTTAATTTCTCAGGTAAGTCTGTCTGCCTCTTGACAGGTGCTAAAGGAATCTGGATCTTGAGGTAGTCAGATACTATAAAATTGTCATGGGAAAGTCAGTGTCTTTGTAGTATCTATGGCTGTGTGGGTGGTGCTTTGGAAACCTTACTGATATTTGATTGCTATTTAACACCACCACCTTAAACTTCTGAGGGTTCTGGCTCTCAATGTCTTTTCAAGGGCTTTAGAAGAATCTGACTTGAGGTAAAAGCAAAGGCCCTGTGGCTCCTGGTGATACCCAGGTACGTGATTCTGGGATAGCCACTTTTACTCCATCTTCTACATGAGCAAGTAAGGTTTGTTCTGCTCTTAGAAGCCTTCTGGCATGGTGAGGAGGTTAGAGCCAATGAATGAATTTTGTAATATTAGAAGTAATAAAAACTCAGCAGCTGTGGGGCTGTTTTTTTTTTATATTCCATGCTGTGATTTCCCCTTCACAGATGTGTTTTATTAGAAGTACAGCCTTGGGAAGTGCTTTGGTTGGCACAGAGCATTGCATAAGTTGTCCAGATCTGTTTTTCTCTTTGTACGTGACACACTGTGTAGCACCAGTGGTTGATTTTAGGTTTAACCTGTAGTGGTTGATTACAGAAGGAGCTTGTAAAGTTGCTGTAAAGCTTCATGTATGTATAGATGAGAATTAAGTCTGTTCCTTTATTAGGAAGTACAAATCAGATTCAAGTAGTTAATCTCTGTCTGTAAAACACTAGTGGCCGCCGTGCACTGATGGTGGGTCACAGGTTTGTGCTGGGTTTTAACAGTAAAGCTTGGAAAATGTTTAGTGCTCCCCCTGTGCATGCACCCCCACCTCCCAGCCCCACAGTGATCCTTAATTTGTGCTCTACATCTGATTAAGTGTTCTGGGGAATTAGTAAACCAGTCTTCATGTTTAATTGTCCTTTTTTCCAACTCAGCATGTGGTTTTTGTCTTTCAGTACGTCCAGGCTGATGCTCCTACCAATAAAACACTGGCTGGGCTGGTGGTGCAGCTGCTGCAATTCCAGGAAGATGCCTTTGGAAAACATGTCACCAATCCTGCCTTCACAAAGCTTCCTGTGAGTACTGGGGTTAACCTGCTGCTGTCACAACAGCCTGGTATGTCCTTCTTGCAGTAGCTGTGCTGCTGGTGGCCTTCCAGGTGCTGGGAAGATCTCTGCTTAGCCTGAAGCTTTGGTTGGTGCTCCTTCTGGAAAGGCTGAAATAGTCCATTCCTCTTAAAAACAGATTTTTCAAAGTAATAAATCTTATTCCCTATGTGTTAAAAGGGATTTCTTGAATACTGTGGAAAGGTTTTAATTTCTAGTAAAATTCTATGCAAATTTGTAAATTTTAAGTCAAATATGTTTGGGCTGATGGATCCTAAACTGAGTAACAAGCACTGTCCAAACCAAACAAGTGTCCTTTGGGCCTTTCAGTTGATTAAACATTGAACCTGTGATGCTGTCAAGGCTGAAAAATGGCTTTAGTGTCTTCTTCAGTAGCAGGGAGTTACCTAACAAGTCTGGGGTGGCTTTCCACCCACAGCACTGGTGTACAAAAGCAGCATGGGCCTTGCAGGGGTTGGTGATTTAACATTCCAACTTGGCATATCTTCAGCAGTGGTTTCCCAGTGGTGATGTTCAGAGACCACCCCTGCTGTGCTTGGGTCCCTACCTGCCCCCAGAAGAATGTTGTTCAAGTGAGCATGAATTCCAAACAACTGAGAGAAGGAAGAGGGATGTGGCAAATGGTACAGACCAAGTCACAGAGGGATTCTGGTTGCAAAGGGCAAGGACTGCAGCGTGGTATCAAGCACCCAGCTCGCCAGTTTAGGGTGGGTTTTGAGGGCCAAGGCAGCTGTTGTGGATGTGTCTGTGCAGTGTTCCTGCTTGTGAGGCAGGAAGGGCTTTCGTGGAATCATGGGATGGTTTGGGTTGAGAGGGATCTTAAAGATCACCCAGTCCTATCCCCTGCATGGGAAGGGACACCTCCCACCAGCCCAGGCTGCTCCAAGCCCCATCCAACCTGCCCTTCAACACTGCCAGGGATGGGGCAGCCACAGCTTCCCTGGGCAACCTGGGCCAGGCTCTCACCACCCTCACAAAGAAGAATTCTTCCTAACATTTAATCTAAATCTCCCCTTTTCCATTTTTAATCCATTATCCCCGTGGCCTCTCACTCCCTGCCCTTGTCCCAAGTCCCTCCCCATCCTGGAGCCCCTCAGATGCTTTGCCTGCCTTTGCCACAGGGCTCACTGGGAACCCAAGGTCATGCAGCCCAGGGATCTTTTCAGATATACATACTAAATTGGAAATATTTGCAGTATCATAAAGTGAAGTTGTTCTGAAAACTGTTGCAATTACTGTCTTTGTGCCACCACTCACAGAATGCTACTTCTATTATTTTATGGTCATTTTTTTTGCCCTCGATATTTTGCTGCTGTAACTTGTTTTGTGAAGGATGTGAATTCATTTGTGTTTTCTCCATGAGAAGAGTTTTCAGACTTCCTGAGTGAATCTCTTAGTGCTCAGGAGTGCACAAGGAAGCAGCACAAGGTGCTGCTCAAGATGTAGCTCAGCATCTCTTCCATCTGATCACCTGATACCTCAGAGGTGAACATTGTGGTGCTTGATTTTGATATGGCAGCATAGACCATAAAACTGTACCCATATCCAACCAGCTGATAAACCATTTGAGTGCTCTCAAGTTTTACAGCAATTTGTCTTATCTTAAAAATGGGTAAAAAAGATTTCAGAGGCATTGTAAATACATTGTTCCTGTGTCTGACCATTCTTGCTGTTTGGAAGATCTAATCTGATCCCATTTATTCAGCTTGAGTTTGGAGCAGTTGGATCTTTCTGCTCCTGGTTACTTCCAAGAGAAGACAACTCATCAGTACATCTTCCTTTGTATTGTTTTCATGAGAAGATGCAGCATGTGCTCTTAAGACAAGGTTTGCTTTTACTTTTTCAGGCATGTAATTCAAGGTCCTGGCTCAGGCTGCTGAGGGGGCTTTGTTGTGCCGGAGCCCTTTGAAGGTGTGAAAAATGCTTCAGATTTGCAGGACTGTGTCTGACTTGGGAAGGGAGAGGGGCAAAGGGATAGCTCAAGTGAAATTACTTATCTCCAAACATGGATTGGAAAGCTATTGCAGACTTCCACTGGAACGAATCATCATAGAATGATTTGGGTTGGAAGGGACCTTAAAGATCATCTAGTTGCAACTCCCATCCATAGGCAGGGAGCACCTCCAACTAGACTAAGTTAAATGAAGCTAAAAGAGGTTTAAAGTCTGTGTTTTATCTTAGTGACCATACAGAGTTGCCATGTTGCTGGTGAGGGAGGATCTGAAGCTGAAGAGGAGGAGGACATGGTCGTGTAAAAGAAACAACCCTGCAGGTGACTGCAGGAGCCCTCAAGCTGTGACCACTGCTCACAAGTGCCGTGGCTAAAGGCTCCAGCCCTGTGTGCTGCTGTTCTCCATGAACACCTGGCACTGCTCCCCTTATCTATGCAGCTTAGGGGAGATGAAGTGTTGGGTCTTGAGAACTGCAGGTGTTGCTAAACACTGGGATGTGGCTCACCAGGAGCACCTCCTGAGGAGTACATGTCAAACCAAGGTTGTTCTCCCAGTTCATCTGAGAGTCTTTGTGTTTATTTTCCAAGTACTAGCCAGTGCACCTCACCTTCAGAAGTGTCTGCAGTGCTGGAGCAGGCAGGGACAAAGGGAAGCTGGGAATACTGGTGGTCTCTTCCATTAGTATTTGAGGTAAACATCTCTGTCCTGTACTGCATCTGAGTATCTGCAGACTTCAGCTGCTGGGATACAATTCAAACAGTTTGCTGAGTGCTTTGAGAACGGACCTTGCATTTGAGAGAGGGTTGTTAGTTCTGTCTTGAAGCTCCTATTCTTGGCAAGGATGGTTTACAGGGTCTGGGAATAGATCAAGAGCAAAATGCTCAAAAAAAACCCTAATTAGTTCACTTGCAATTTCACATATTTGAAGACTCTATAAAGTTATTAACTTGTGGCAAGTTGATATAAATTGCCTTGTTATGGTAGATTTCATTGGGTAAAAATATTGAAGAGAGTCTCATTTATTGGCAGTTTTATCTGTTTGGCAAAAGAGGTTTTAACTGGTTGTTAAAAGCCAGTTATTTTTATCTTGGTAGCAATGACCACAGTTTGAGATGAGGGTCTTGCTAGAGTCTGCTGACACTTTAAAATGGGACTTTTGTCTCTGAAAGAGAAGATGGAGACTCCCTTTTTACAAGGAGTCTGATGGAAAAGGCAAGGAGTGATGGGTACAAGTTGCTTCTGGGGAGATTCCAATGGACTCCAGAAGGGAATGTTTCTCCATGAGAACAGTTAAGACATTGGAATGCTCTCCCAAGGGAAGTGGTGGGGTTCCCTACATGGGGCAGTTTTAAGACTCAGCTTGACAAGATGCTGGGCCACCTCATTTGAACTATATTATCACCTGGAAAAGTTGGACCAAGTGATCCTTGAGGTCCCTTCCAATCTGGCATTCAACGGTTTGTAAATTTTTCTTACACTATATATTTACAGGCACTCCTTAAGAACTGGTTTTCATGGTTAAGTGTTGGCTGGACTTGCTGTGTGTGGCAGTAACATCTGAACTTGCCTGAGGGGCTGCCATTGTGGGGGCACATGCAGGGCTGCCTTCCAGGGTTACCTTGGTCATGCAGGAAGATCTGGCCTTGATAGGTTGAATGTGGGCTGCTGGTGGGCAGCTTGATGAAGGTGAAGCTGCAGCAGTAGCCCTTGAGCTGGAGTTGCAGAGCATGGGGTGCAACAGTGGGATCAGCAGTTTCCCAATAACAGAGGAGGTGGGCTTTGCTTGGTGATGTCAGCCAGTTGTGTGATACATCCAGAATATCAGCAAAATGGGAAAAGTTGAGTCTGGGTGACCATGGCTATGTAGGACAGCTGAAGGCAAGTGACAGCAACTTAGAACCATAGACTTGCTTGGGTGGGAAGGGACCTTCAAAGATCTAGACCAACCTCTGCAGTGAGCAGAGACATCTTCAACCAGATCAGGTTGTTCAGACCCCCATCCAACCCAATATGCAGTGTTTCCAGGGATGGGGCATCTCCCTCCTCTCTGGCCAACCTGGGCCAGTGTCTCACCACCCTCAGTGTAAAAAATTCCATCCTTTTATCTAGTCTGAGCCTGACCCTCCTTCAGCTTAAACCCAACATCCCTTGTCCCATCACAACAGGCCCTGCTAAAAAGTCTGTCCCTATCTTACTTACAGGCCCACTTTAAGTCCCGTGTACCAGTGCTGCACAAATCTCCTGGGCACTAGGTCTGATGGCTTCACCTCAGGATCATTTTACTCTTTATTTTACAGCAGACAGTGTTTGCCTGTGTTTGTAAACCAACACTTGTGTGCCCAGAGCCAAGTCTTATGGCAGTAAAATCACTGAGCATGTTAAAACATTTTGTTTTCCAAGCTCCTGATCAGACCCTGCTCCCCCAGTAGAGTCTAGGTTGGTAAAACCAGTCCTGAGGTGCCAGCAGCTGCTGAGCTGGCACGTACCTGTGAGGCAGCTTTGGGCTCTTTGTTCCTCTCCCTGCACAGCCAGGCTCTAAGCAGATGGCAGGCGGAGCAGTTCTGTTCCTCCTGAATGCTTATGAAGGATCTTTCTCTGTTGATCTTGGACACGGGTGTATTTGGTGTCTCACAGGGCTGTTTGACTTCCCATTACAGCTCCAGCCAAGGAGGACCATGTTTCATCAACATCCCAGGCTGCCATCCTAGCTGCCTGGCTGCAGAATGAACTATGAATGCTTCAGACTGTAGCTTGTTGTTCATTCTGTGTCACCAAATAACTCCTGGGGTGTAATATAGTGGGCTTTAGAGAAGATGGCCTGTTCTCATCTAAAAAGTAAGGCAGCAGCTGGATCAGAAACATTCCTAATGTAGAGAAACTAGTGGGGAGGCTGTTGTGTGTTTGCAGCTTTGTGTTGCCACTCATTCCTGCAGGAGGCAGCTCCTGGAAAGCTGCTGGTGACCAGCCCAGCCATGAAACAGCTCCCCAGCCCCTCCTGTATGAATTAGACAAGGCTTTGGTTTTACTGAGAAACTCAAAAGTAGACTGATCTTGGTCTGTATGTTCAGCATGTGCAAGAAAAAGAGATTTCATTTACTGTTCCAGTACATGAAGAAGGTGTTGGAGCAAGTCCAGAGGAGGCCCTGGATATGCTAGGCGGGCTGGAGCAGCTCTGCTCTGGAGCCAGGCTGGGAGAGTTGGGGTGTTCAGCCTGGAGAAGAGAAGGCTCCAGGGAGACCTGAGAGCAGCTTCCAGTGCCTGAAGGGGCTCCAGGAAAGCTGGGGAGGGGCTTGGGACAAGGGCAGGGAGGGATGGGAGCAGGGGGAAGGGTTTCCAGCTGGCAGAGGGAGCTGGAGCTGAGATGGGAGGGAGAAATTGTGTGCTGTGAGGGTGGGGAGAGCCTGGCCCAGGTTGCCCAGGGAAGCTGTGGCTGCCCCATCCCTGGGGGTGTTGAAGGGCAGGTTGGATGGGGCTTGGAGCAGCCTGGGCTGGTGGGAGGTGTCCCTGCTTGTGGCAGGGGGGTGGAGTTAGATGGTCTTTAAAGTTCCTTCCAACCCAAACCATTCCATGAGGTGGCTGTGCATCTTACACTGAGTGGAACAGCAGCAGAAGGTGTCAGCTCCAGCCTGCCCCTTGTGCACTTCTGGTGGGGCAGGAAGGTGTGGGTTCAGCCTTGTTAGTGCCAGGAGATGCTGAGTTCCAGCAGAACACTCATTTCTGTTGTAGAAAAATAGTTAGGTGATGGATCTGCCTCATTTTGCCATTTCAGTTCATTGTTAGAACAATTTTCTTTAAATATCTCTGAAGGTGTCTGGCAAATGCTCCTGCTTGCCTAGAAAAGCTTTTTTTACAGCCTCCTGCTCCTCTATAAAAGTTGCCCGAAGCAGGTGAGATCTGCAGTCAGTTGTTAGTGTTCCAGGGTCACTTCACTTCAGTGCATGTTTGTAAGTGAATTTTTACATGTTAGAAGAACTTAAAAAAACAAAAAAGACAAAAAAAAAAAGACTTTTTCTGTGGTTTGGTCAGATGGGTTTATCTGTCCCATTGGCATGTGCATCAGTGCCTGGGGGACAGAAACAGGTTTTGTTTGTTCTGTTGCCACATCATGTGTTGCTGCCTTTTTCACTGGCTGGTTCCTCGGGGCTGCTGGGTGTTCAGCTCAGCTCCCCAGTTGTCTTCTGTTTCTGAGGTTACTCTGACAGTAGCCTGGTTAATTCTGAACTACAACTGATCAGGAAAGTGTCCCTTTCTGTCTAGGAAACTGTCTCTTGCTTCTTTAGTAAGATTTGACAGATGGGACTTGGTGAGATCTGGAGCTTTTTGGTCTCCTTGTGCTGCTGATTTAATTTCAGCTCTTGAATTTGGAGTAGCTGCTTGTGAATCTGTGCCTGCTCTGCTAAAATTGACAGTGAAGAAACCAGCTGGGTTTAGTATTTAAGGGTGAATCTGCACAGTGACCTTCTCAAATCTTGGCAAACACTTTTTCTTTGTGGTACAGGAAGGACTTGAACGGAGAGGAGCCGTGATGAATATGGAGCCTGGGTTTTAGATGTTCGTGTCTAATGGTTTGTTTTGCTTTACTTAATACAGATTAAGAGCTGCTTAACTGACAGCTACAATTTTAGGCTTAATTTACTATGAAGCAGATGTTCAAAGAACAGTTTGGATTTCTGTTCTACAGTTGTTCAAGGAATTTTTTGCAAGCTACTCAAATAAGGAAGGACTTAGAGCTTTCAGATATACCAGGTTCTGCTTGTAAGCATGAAGAATTCTACTTAAAGCAAATGCATTTAATCTTCTCAAAACATTCTTAAGGGATAATGTAAAACTCCAGAAGTGATTAATCAGAAAATTAAGCTGTGCATTTGATACCTTAGATGTCTAAAGGTCTGCCAACAAGTGTACATTTTTTTGTGTGTATTAATAAAAGTCAGTGTCACTGTGTTTTCACTTTTCTTTTGGGTTCTAGGCAAAGTGCTTCATGGATTTCAAAGCTGGAGGTACATTATGTCACATTCTTGGTGCTGCTTACAAATACAAGAATGAACAGGGCTGGTAAGCTTTTATTTTTTATTTATACACCTTTTGCATGGAATTAAGCACACAAAATGCCTGTGCAAACTACTTGAAGTTTAATACTTTATGGAAAATGGGGTAGGCAAGGGAGTTGGAGATGGGAAGAGGAAATTATTTCCTGTTTTGCTGATGGTAGCAAAGTCACACTGCCACACTTCCAGGTGTAAAGATAGGTTGTCCAAGTTTGAGGGCTTGAGCTTCTAGGTTGGGAGTTAATTACAAACTCTTGCTGTATGGCTGAGCAAATTAACCAGTATCTTAGAATTGCCATTTCCCACCTATAAGATGTGAATCTTCATTATTGTAGTGAGTCTAGGGTCTAGTTCTAACTGAGGAAACAGGGAACATTGCATAGTTCCCTAAAAATGCTGTTTTCCATAAACGAAGAGTTCCAGTAGTTAGAAGCACTGCTCATGTAGCTGTTGACACGGGCATGAAACTATTCCTGTGACATCCCAGCAGTGTTGTGGCCTGTATGTTCCTAAGTTACAATCTGTTTATTGTTGGGAGGGTTGGAAAAAAACAGAGGATGAAAAGTTACTAGAGAAAAGTAAGCAGAGATTGTTCTTGTGGGTGAATGTAAATAGTTCCTGATGTTGTGCAGACCTGGAGCAGAGTTCCAGGGATTGACTGTTTCTTTTACCCACAAGAGCAAAATTAAAAGACAGAAATGAAGTTGTGTTCTGGTTGGTTGTTTTGAGGAGCATTTTATGCTCCCAGCAGGTAAATAGGTGTCTGAGATGGGTGGATCAGAAGGCTGGTACAAATCGGCTGCTGCCAGGTTGTCTTCTACTCCAGCATTCCCAACACCCAGGGCATGATAGGTGTCTGTAGTGTTCCTTGTGGCCTTTCAGGGGTGTCTTGCTACCTCTTTGCCTTAAGATAAAGGAGTTAGGCAGCTCCAACTTCATGAATATTTAAACTTTGCATTTTTTCCAACCAAATTTAGTTTTCAGGCATTAAAGTTTGTCAGCAAAACTCAGATCCATGATGACCTCCTCTCTTCTCCCTCTCTTGCTGACCCCTCAGACCTAGTGTGGGTAGTGCCATGTGCTTGTGCATGTGGGGTGTAGAGGGAAGTAATTCTGGAATTTAACTCTGAGGATCAGACTTAGAGCTTGGAATGTATCCTTCACTGACTCAACCAAATAATATGTGGTGTTTTGCCTGAAATATGCTTTTTGTTTTTATTGGTGTGCATTGTCACTCTTGCTTAACCTGTTTGTGAATGATCTGTCTTATAGGAGAAGTTCCTTTCCTCGTCATAATAGGTATGTCTGACAAGTGCACTTACCCAGTGCAGCAGGACATACCTTGTCTCTCCCTGCAATCCAAGCAGTTGTTTGCTAAAACCTGTCAGGGGGTATCAGTTAAACCCAGGACAGGAAGAATTATAACTATTTTATCTACATGGGCAACTCAAAATAAGTGTTGGTGCTTAACGTGTTGATGTGCTTCTCTTCAAGTGTGGGTTTCAAAAGCAGGCCAAAAGCTGGGGGCACGTAGAGCATTCAGTGAACTAGTAATGTGGGTTTTAGACAACCAAATATAAAAATTGTGGTCAAACTGGAATGCTTGAAGTATCTTTTGTTTCATGGGTACTGAAGACTTTCTTAGTTGTGTAGGAAAATACAAAATGGTGTTTCTTTGGCATTTAACTTCACTTCCTGGAAACTGAGAAGCCAGTTTGGAATACAGACTGGAGCTGTCAGTAGGTGAATGCTGGAGAGTGGATTGGCCCTGGTTTTTAAAATCCCACGTATTAGAGGTGTAAAATAATTACTGTGTTGTGCAGTGAGCTGACAGACTGCTTCTCAAAGTCAGTGTAAACCTTTCAGCAGGCACAATGCTATTTAGAGACATCCATTTATTTTAAAATTGAAAGACAATTCCAATAAAAACACTAGGAAATGATCCTCAAGCTGTTTCCCAGGTCCTTAGTGTGAGAGGAGGAGTCCCTAATCCTGCTTGAGGAGAGAAACCATAATTCACTTATAGTGAATATTTCCAGTGCTGCCCAACACAACATATTTTATGTGGCAACTTCCTGAAAATACCAGAGAGCCTCAAGTGGAGAAAAACTTGGTGGTCTCAGCTGAAGTGTCTTTTGTCTAATTTAGCAGTGCAATATTGATGTGGTGCCAAGGCATGTGGTGGTGGTTTTGTGACTACAAATCCATGTTGCTTTGGTTTCACCTTCATTGTGTATTTTTCAACTTAGATATTGATTGGCTGTGTTACTGAAAACAAGCATGTGTTGAAAAGAAACTGTCAGTAGATGTGGGCACAGGAGTGAATTCTTGTATTTTAAAGATGAAGCCTACCAGTCACTGCATGGTGATGAGTACATGGCTTTTTCACTCTGATAAGTGTACAGGGCAATTTTAATTTTATTTTAAATGCTGAAGTCCCCATCTGCTGGTGTTGCTGCTCCTCAACACCAGCTCAGCACTCCAGTTTTAAGAGCATTTTCAGACTCTAGCAGCAGCTTTTCCCAGAATTTGGGAGGTAAAATGTGTACCAGACAGTTTTTTACATCTGAGAGTCAACAATGTGATTATCTAAATACATCATGGTGCTCTGGAAAAGGATGGATTGTTCTAGGTCAGGCCCAGTTCTGTGCCAGAAGCTCCTCCAGCACTGTCCACCCTGGCTGGGGATGATGAGCCTGTGCTGTAGGGCCCCTGAGCCTGGTGAGGGACTGACTGGCCTTAGTGCTGATTGTCCCACCTTGGGTTCCTGGGGGTCACCATTATGGGTTCTTCATCTGAGTTGATTTGTCCATGTCTTCAGAATACGTGTATGATTCAGGTGCATCTGGCAGGATGCCTTCAGGAGGCCCTGGGGGCTCTTCCCAGTAGAAAGCCTCAGATTTTCTGATCAACACTTAAACCTGCATTGTTACAAAGTCATGGAATAGAACCATAGAATTATTTGGGTTGAAAGGGACCTTAAAGATCATCAGGTTCCAAACCCCCTTCATGGGCAGGGACACCTCCCAGAAGCGCAGGCTGCTCCAAGCCCCATCCAACCTGCCCTTCAACACTGCCAGGGATGGGGCAGCCTCAGCTTCTCTGTTGTTGCTTCACAGCAACCTGTTCCAGCACCTTCCTACCCTCATGGGGAAGAATTTCTTCCTGATGTCTGACCTAAATCTCCCTTCTTTCAATTTAAAACTGTCACCCCTTGTCCTGTCACTGCCCTCACTGGTTAAAAGGATATTTCAGGGATTTTGATGACTTCATCAATAAAGTAGCAACCTTTCAAGTACCAAAGTCCAATAAAGGCCATAAAATGCTCCCTGTGTGCTGTGGGGGGGAGGCTTGTTCTCAAGTCCATCAGTGGTTTGGAAAATCTCAGGCAGGTGAATTGCTGTGGTTTTCCTGGGGTAGAATCTGGGACTGGTGGATGGTGCAACTGGAAGTAAGAGAAACATGAGAGCTTGTACATGAGTTTTCTCATCTAGTTGTTGTTTGGGGATGTTTCTGTTTAATCACCCCTTTGTGGCTGTGGTGGAGTGCACAGCCCTGGTGCAGGGTTTGGTTGGACACTAAACCTCCCTTTTTCTGAAACATCTCACAAACCAGTTGCATTGTATCGATTTGATTCCTTCTGGGTTTTCTTGCTTGTGCTGCCAAGTGGAGCAAAAATATTTGTGATGTTGCTTTAAGTGTTCTTATGATACTGTTTTTGATGTGGAATGTGAAAGATTCTTGGCTGCTGAATGTGGGAGAGTTGAATTTAATATTTTTGACTCCTTTTCTTTCCCAGGCGGAGGTTTGACCTGCAGAATCCGTCCCGGATGGATCGAAACGTGGAGATGTTCATGAACATTGAGAAAACACTAGTGCAGGCAAGAAACTCCTGTTCAGAACTCCATGTTTCCACATGCTCAGGGGAAGGGATTCACCAGCTTTTTATGTACCTCAGTTGGGACCCACTGAAGAGTTACCTTCCTACAGGAATATTACACTCTTCCCTCCCTCTCCCACCCATTTTAGTAATAATTCCATGTTACTGCTTGGAAACTGAGGGATGTTTTCATTGATACTGAGAAAAACCTGTGTGTAAGGTAGGAGAAAGCATCCTGAGTGTCTCCATCTTCCTGTGAAAGAATCATCCTCTGGGCTGAACAACTGATTCTGTACATACCCACCCCAGTGCTGACTTTCTTGAGCCTTTAACCATGATACAAATTTGGCTTCTTTCAGGTTAGGATCCATTTTAGACACTCCTGCTTTACCAAACAAGTAAGAGAGCAGCTCAAAGCTCTGTGGAGTCTCTTTTGAAATGAAAAAAAAATGTAACTGCCCTGTGTGAATAATGGAATTTATTTATTTTCCAACTCTAAAACCAAGCTCAGTGTACATTATAGTCAAGATGTAAATATCAGGTGCTTGTTAAAAGTGGAAATAGGAGGAAGGAGAGCAAAAGAAGCAGTGATGTCATTATGAAAAACTCTTGCCATTGTGTGGTGGTTTCAGTCCGTAATAGAATACATGTTAAAATCAGTATTAACAGGTTGTGTGCCTGCAGATACAGCAGAAATGCATGAATCTGCATGTCAGGGCAGCAGGACAGATGCAGGTTTGGAAGGTGACACACAGAGACTTAAATTCCCTTTCAAGCAAAGTCTTTCAGAGCCTGTCAGAATTATTTTCTTAATTATGGTTTCCATTAAAGATTATGTGAAAGCAGGAAGGTGAGAACAGCTGCACTGGGTCACAATCATAGAATGGGTTGGGTTGGAAGGGGTCATGTTCCCTTCATCCATTGTGATGTCTCTGATGGAGCCAACAGCAGCTCTGCAGACACCCAAAAGAAACCCAGGAAAAGACCTTGGCAGGAGAAATACTATGTTAGAGTTTCTGGAGCTGGTTAATGTGCTGGGTCACAAGCTGATACATGTTCCTTTTGAGCTTTTTGAAGCACTGGTGATTTTAAGGGGAACTTTCTGATGTATGGCACAGGGGAGCTGCTAATTTCTTCCCTTCTTCTCTCCACTAGAACAACTGTCTGAGCAGACCAACCATCTACCTCATTCCAGATATAGAGCTGAAGTTGGCCAATAAACTGAAGGATATTGTCAAACGTCACCAGGTAACTGTTTGAGCAGCATGTCTGAAACAAGTGTTTTGTCAGTTGTTAAATAAAGTGTGTTTGCCTGAGTTCAGGACATCAGTTATGTCTGGGTTGTGCCTGACAGCACAGGCAGAGTCACTTCAGCCATTCCCCATTTGTAAAATGCTCTCCCTGGTTATCCTCAGGGGGAGCTTGAATCATCACTCTGTCTTAAAAGTACATCTGAGGTGAGCAGCAGCTCTGGTGGCTCAGTGAGCTGGGGCAGCCCCCCCATGGAATGTGCAATACCTGAAGGAACAGAAACTCTGTTTGTCCACACTGGAGACCAAAGAACATTGTGATGCAGCTGTTGTAGAGGTGTGGGGGCAGCAGAAGGAGCAGCTTCATTAAGTGATCACTGCCTATTTTGATTTATTTCACTTGGCTTTTTTTCTTGCTTGTGCTGAAGAGAACACAAGCAACAAGGGGCTCTGGCTGGGTAGGTGCTGTGTTTCCTAGAGAGTCAACATCTTGCTGTTGTAATTTAATATACTAAATTATGAGCTGAACAAGATTAATAGCTTCATCTTTTAAAAGTGTAAATAGTCCTTTCACTTGTCTGGAGAGAAGTATCCTGGAATGTGAGCTCCAGAAGGTCTGATACTCTTTGTGTTTTGGTAATTGATGGCTGTAGCCAAAGTAAACTGTTTCTTTTCCAGATTAAATGTATTTCCTGTGTCATGATTCTGAGCCATCATCTCAACTTCAGTTCTGTAGTTTTTCACAAGTTACTCTTAATTATACAGCTGACTCAGGATGCTTGCTATGGCTTAAATTAGAGTTACTGATTGAATTTTCCTTCCCTAAAGGATCTCAAAGCATGCTATATCCATGAATGATGGGAACTCTGAAGCAGGCAGCTTTGTCTCTAAAGGGATATGAAGAATTGAGAACAGACATTGTCCCTAATTCTGCTTTTTAAGCTTTCTTCCTTTACCTGCCTCTGAATTATAGAACCATAGAATGGTTTGGGTTGGAAGGGAGCTTAAAGATCAGCCAGTCCCAACCCCCTGCATGGGCAGGGACACCTCCCACCAGCCCAGGTTGCTCCAAGCCCCATCCAACCTGCCCTTGAACACTTCCAGGGATGGGGCAACTTGTTCCAGTGTCTTCCTACCCTCATGGGGAATAATTTCTTCCTGATGTCTAATCTAAATCTTCCCTCTTTCAGTTTAAAGCCATCACTGCTTGTCCTATCACTGCCCTCTCTGCTGAATCCTCACCTTGGTTTTGTGTTGCCACCTGTGCTTGCTCCGTGTCTTGATTTACTTGTATATTTTTTTACCAGTTGTTGTCATCTTCCCTCCATTCCACCCCTAGTACCTGTAGCTCCCTCCTCTCTGGTGTTCCCACATCCTTCCTGCAGCACATGGAGAAGGGCTGTGTATCTCTTGTCCCAGCACAGTCTGACCTCTGGGCCCATAAAAAGCTGTGTCAGTAGGATGTTTATTCTTTCTGCTGATGAAGATGCTGCTGTTACTGGCTCTAGTAGTCACATTTTTCTGATTTTTCCTTACCAGTGTTGAGGATTCTTCTGAGAAGAGCCAGAATAATAACTTTGGAACTTGAAAGCAAGTAATGAGTGAGATTTAGCACTTATCTGCTTCAAGATAAGTGTTGTGTGGACAGGGAACTTCCAGCCTGTTAGGTCTGTAGCTCCCAGCCACATCAGTTTAGCAGGGGCAGGGAATGAGCCCTACAACAGTTTGCTGTTTGAATTTGAAGTTTTTCATCCCTTTCTCTTCAGTCAAGGCAGCAGCTGAGAAAGAGTTCCTGTTCTCTTGTGCATGGGGGGTTTTTCAAGCTCCACAGGAAATAATTGTAGTGATTAGATTCACAAAGCCAAGGTCAGATACCTAGAGAAGTGTCTTCAGCTGAAGGGGGAATTTCCGCTCTTGTTCCTTAGACATTTTGCAGGTTCTTGGTTCATTCTTTCCCTTTGGACACTTTTAATTTCTTCTTACTTTCCAGTTTTATTTTTTGCTGTTGCTCAGAGCACCCCTTACCCTTTCCCCAGCTCTGTGAACTCGTGTGGGTGTAGGAGCTCTTGCCCTTCAGCCCCTGACCCCAGAGTAGGCTGCAGATGTTGCTACCACAGTGCAGTGTGTCCTCATGCTGCTTGAGTTTTCTTCCTCCTGATCCTGTTTTCCAAGTCAGTTGTTTGCATCTTGTTGGCTGTAACTTATCCCATATGCTCTTAATTCCTTTAAATAAATCTGTTAAGTATTTGTGGAATCTAAGTTTTGAATAACATGTTTTGGAGCAGTTTGTGTGAAAATAACTCCTCTGCAGGCTGGATTGCTGCTGTCCTTGGAAATGACTCTTCATATTGGGAGACTGAAGGTGTCTGCAGCATGTGGGAGAATCCTTATGGATTTATATATATATGTAGGGTATATTTGTATATATATATTCTGGATTATATGAATCCATAAGGATCTATTTTATCCATGTGAGGGCAGGACAGGGTTTTCTTGACTGGCCACACTAAGCATTGTCCCATGATTATTTAACACATACGTAGTAGAATTTTTTTGCATGATGATGTAGGTCTAATAGGAGCAATAATTCTGGCCTGTCCTCAGATGTAGGGGAAGTGCCTCATCTGCCACTGCTCGTGGCAGCTACATAAGCACAAGAAGGACGTGTTGCTTCTCATGACAAGAGAATGGTGCCCTGAACCACCAAGAAGAAAAAGTGTTCCTGTGTTTTAATATTTGGCAAGCAGTGGCATCATGTTAGTGCATTTCCAGTGAACTCCCTTTGTTCTCTGATGTAGGAGGCTTCTTTTGAAAGAAGGGCTGTTCATTCTGTCTCTTGACATGCAGCCTTTCTTGGGTACTGAGGTTCTGTTCAGGGCAGCCATTTCTAGTCAAGTTCCCCCTTGACTTTATCTTATGTAAACTGTCATACTTAGAAATTGTTTTGGACCTACATGTGTGCTCAGTGGGAAAGAAGCTACAGATGCTTTCTTACCAAGTATTCACCAGTAGGTTTGTATGAGCTGATAGCTGAATAATTTATTATGAGAATTGAGGCAGAAGGAACTGGGAGGAGACAGGATTTGAGATGAAAAGAGCAAGAGACAACAAAGTAATTTGGCAGCAATCTTAAAATCATTAATTGCTTTCTTTTGGCACTTTGTAGTTGCACTGGAATTACCCTGCAGTGTTTCTGGGTTGCATGGGAGGTGGGTAAAAAAAGCAGCTGAGAAATTTGTGATAGTGTGTTGAAGGTTTCTGATGCAGTTTCTCCTTTTCTTCCACCTTTCCCACAGGGAACAGTAACTGAAGAGAAATCAAAGGCTACACACCATGTTTATCCAAGTCCTACCTCAATGGATGATGGTAAAGTTGCTTTCCGGTTTTTTAAGGGAAATAATCTTGGCACTAAATCCCATCAGCACTTAAGCAAGCTTTCACACAGACACAGAATCTTCCTTGCCTGCTCCTGAGAGCCACTGGAAAAGTATTTCTGGGATTAACAACTCCAAATCATTGTGTCCTGCTTCTAACTACTGGGTGTAACAGTCACATTTTTAAGCGATGCAATTAATTTTCAGATTCAGATGCAGAACACTGACTGCTTTTCAGTGATTGCCCTGGAAATTGAGATACTATTTATTGCTGAATGCAGAGACATATTTTGTTTGTCCCAAATAACTTGGAGGCTGAAGGGGAGCAGAGCAAAGTGTCTGGAAGAACTTGAAGAAATTAACATTGATTTACATTTAAAGGGAAGGATAGTAAAAGCAGGAGGCTTGAAACTAAAGTTACCACTGTCTTTTTCCTTGTGTTGCTCCTTTGGTGTCCCCTAGTGTGTAAGCATCATAGAATCACAGAATGGTTCAAGTTGGAAGGGACCTTAAGGATCATCTGGTTCCAAGTATGGGTCAGAAAGTTGAGTGAAACATTGTAAGGAATCACCTGGATGTGGGAAAGGTAGATAGATGCTCAAGTAAATAAGAATTGAGAAGCTCTGTCATGTTCCTGGCATGTGATGTGGCAAGGTGGATGCAGTGACAAGTAGACCTGATGTGGGGACTGCTGGCTCTGTTCCAGTGCAGTCTGCCCCGGGATGGATGCACAGGATCCACAAAAGCAGCTTCACCCCTGTGTCCTGCAGCAAATGGCACCAACATGCAGCTCTTGATTTTATCATCTTAAATACATTTAATTGCCTTATGGGTCGTTGTTGAACCTGAGCTTTACTGAAAAAAATAACCTTTACCTGATGTGCTCTGGCATCTGGTGGCCACTAGATGGAAGCTTCTGTTCGTGGATGAATTGTCCCCTTGTTTGTGTCCTGCCTAGACAGCGGGTTCTGTTTGTTTCTACCCACTTCAGGTTCTCAGCAAACGGTTAAGCACAATAAATCCCTTCTGTCTTGTAGTCAGTGGCCCTGCAGGTGAGCTAGAGCTCTTCCAAATTCTGATTATTCTACTGAGGTGAGAAAACAGCCATGAATTCAAGCAGTGTAGCTTCACACAGGGTGAAATCCTCAGGGTTTCTCTTTCAGTCCACACACTCAGTACATGGGCTGCAGGGGCTGTTACACTGGGGCTGTTTAAAAATAAAAACACCTGTGCAGTTTAAAAATAAAAACACCTTTAGAGCAACAGTCAGACTGAGCGCCTGCCCTGCTGCCACACCAGCTGAGGGGCAGGGCTGCTCAGTGAGTCTTGGATCCCTTGTTAGCACAGCTGTGAGGGGAGAAAGTTAAACCCAAGTTCTGCTATTCTAGGAAGTTTTTATGAATCTGTTTCACTGCCACCCCCTGCCCTGACATTCTTCCTTCAAAACTCTGTTGTTCTTTTAAATACCTGTTGAGAGTAGAATTGAGTAATGGGAAGGTCTTTTGCAGTAAGTACAAATCACTGTAAGAAGTTAATGAGGCTGCAAAACAAGGCTGCAAAAAGGCAGAGAGGAAATATTTACCACTGAGAAGAAGTTTAGGCTTTTTGTCCATAGAAGGATTAAGAAAAAGTGACAGATCAGAGCATGTCTCTCTCTGTCCCTGTTGCGTCTTTACTGAATGTCATCTTGGAGCAGTTCTGTCCCATTCTGACTCCCAAGGAGTCTGGGAGATGAGACAGGATGAGATGAGCTGGCAGGGAATGTGTGCCTGTCAGCCAGAAGTGCCTCTTGCTTCTGCTGAGAAACAGGTGATTGCTACAAGCTGCTTTGGATCTTAATCTGGAGTGTGTTAGGGTAGGAATCTCTGTGTCCAGGAGAGGAAAGGTAACTTAGCATTAACATGGCTTTTCTAATGTCACATCTGTTTTGAATACAGGCAGAGCAGATGCCTGTGTAGCCCTGGCAAAGGCAGTGCAGGCAAGTGTGGCAGCCAGGCCCTGGGCATTGCACTGCAGGAGGGGTTTATCAGAGTTGGTTGCAATATCTTCACTGTTAGACTGTAGGAAAAACAAAGCAGTGTTTGATGTTCATAACCTGAGCCTGATGCTGAATCTCTTTCCCCTTTGCAGATGAATGGTTGAGACCTGTGATGAAGAAAGACAAGCAGGTGCTGGTACACTGGGGCTTTTTTCCAGACAGGTAAAGAAGGATGGGGGAAGAAAGCAGACCCCAAATGTTAAACTGAAGTTTGTTGAAAGAAAAGTCTTGATTAAAAATTGCAAGTGGGAAAATCCATGTTCTCAAACAGGCTTCTCCTTTGGCTCACTGAGTCTTGCCTCCCCTGAGAGCAGTGCTCTGTGGTGGAATGTCCTGGCTCCAGCTGTGCTGTGTCTGCTCTGTTCTGAGACTGGGGCAGGCTCAGGCCTGGCTCACTGGCTCACCTCAAAATTTAACCCAAATACACATTTGCATTCCTATGGTTTGGTTCTGAATGGCTCTGCATTGCTGTTCATAGTACGAGACAAGCTGAGGTTCTCTTCTGGAGCATAACCATGCAGTAATGTGGCACTGCTGCCATTTGTCTCAGTGTCCAAAGCATGAAAAGACTTAATCCGTGGTTTAAAACTGAAATCTGCATTCCCATCTGGCTCCTGGGTGTGGTTAGAAAAGGACAGTCTGTTTTTCTGCAGAGCCACTAGTGAGGTTGCAAATTGAACCAGACTTTGAAGTGAGCCTTTCCATAAAGTCAGTAAGACAACCATCACATTGAAGTTTTTTCTTCATACACATGAAGAACCTTTAAACATTTCTATATTTGTGTCACCTGGGTAGTCAAGTTTGTCTTGACCCTCAGTCTGTGTGTCTGTATTTATGAATATCTATACAAAGCTGAACACCTTCTTGCACAGGACTTACCCAGTTGCTCAGTACATTCCTGGTGTTGATTACAAACTATTTTGGCTGTTGCTGTTACTGGGTGTAGTTACTGGATGTAGTTTCTTTGTATTTATAAATAGACTTTTGAGGGAACAGCACATTGAAAAGTGAGTGTAAATAACAAGTGGGTTCTCCAGCAGCAGGGGTGGAAGGAGAGGATGCATTCTGCTTTCTTCTAGGAATCCAGGATCTCTTGCTTTAAAGTCTGAAGAATAGAAACAAGTTAATTAACTTAGTATCAGGGTTTGAAGAGGTGACTCAAACTGTATTTATACCCTGAATTCAGAGAGTGGATCTGTAGGGTTAAGCTGAAGTTGGCTTTTCAATTCTGAGAGTTAAAAATGTGTGTGAGGAGCCTTGGGGCCCTCCCTCTTGAGTCTGTCCTGCCTGTAGCAGAAAACAGCAACTATTCCTTTGACTTTTCACTGAGTGAAAAGCTCTTTGCTGTTATGATTTGCGCATGTCAAAGTTGCTGAGTAAATATTTCCTGCTGCTTTTCTTTGGGGATGAAAAGCCCAGGGGACCAATTTTGTTTTTCTGACTCCTCTCATTAGCTACGACACTTGGGTTCACGCCAACGAAGTAGATGCTGAAATTGAGGATCCTCCCATTCCTGAGAAGCCCTGGAAGGTAAGGCTCTCTGCAGCAGCTGCCCACCTTACTGTGTTGGTGTCACTCCTGCTCAGGTGCCACCAGGTGGATGTTTTAATGTGCTGCTGAGGAACACTGACTGTATTTCCCTCTGTAAAGAAAAGCAGAGCGATATTTCTGGAGCCATAATGGCAACGTCTAAAACACTTTGTTCCTTTGGGGAGGAAACCCCCAAATTGTTGAAAAAAATTCCTTTATTTTCTGAGTGAAAATGACAGATTGATGGTGCCAAAATGACCATGTTGATTCTGGCCTGACTTGAGGGGTTTTGTGTTGAAGGTAGGTCCTTCCACTGCTCCTGAAGGGCAGGTGTCTCTGGGATGAAACCTGAGGGCTGCTGGGGAGGCACAGAGACATTGTGCCAGGTGGGAGGGGAGCAAGTGGGGAAATGCTGGGTGGTTTTGGAAGAATATTACTGGAGAAAGTAACTATCAGGTTAGAAACATGAGGTTCCCACACACATGTAATGCAGGGCTTCAGACATGCTTTGTGTGCAGGAAATTCATCTTGTCCTACAACCCAGAAATTACATTGCCAAAAAATACTAGGATTTGATAATAGGGAAATTTCAGAGGATTCTTCAGGAGAGAACATCTCAATTTGTGAACTCTGTGGTGCAGTTGAAATCTTGCTCTTCTCTTTGCATGACTGTAAGCTCAGCTTTATTTTCAGCAGCTTCAGCTAATGGGCTCAAAGTGGAGCTGTGGTCTGGCTGTGTGTGGCCCTGGGCTCTGCTGTCCCCTGGTGTCACACTGCTGTGGCAGCTCTTGAGTTGGTCTCAGCTCAGTGCCACTGCAGACACCAGCTTCTCTCTGCTCCTGGTGCAGGGCACAGTTCAAGTCTCTTGATTTTACTCAATATGCCCAAAGCCTTGGCCTGGCTAAGGGGCTGTGATGTGTGAATGCAGCTGGCCCTGGAACTAGAGCCCATGTGGAAGAGTCTGAGAAGATCAGTAGCTGTTGAAAGAATCCCTGAGGGTTGTAGCTCACCTTTCTTTATGGAAAGGTTCCAGTTAAGAGCAGAATTCCCATTAACTGGTGTCATAATGATGGGAAAAGTCAGTGCTTTATCTGTTGAACATCTTGTGAGCACTCAAACCAACATCAGAAGCCTTATTTAGGTTCTCTACAAAACTGGTTTTCTTTCTACAGAAATGGTTTGTCTTTCTGATTTAGCTCATTGCAAGTGATCAGTAGAGAGCAGTTATCATCAGCATAAACACTGCTTTATTGTCCTTTTATTGGGCTTGCTCTTTCATGCATAGCAATGCAGTGATGATCAGTGTGCACCCTGTTGGTCTGAACAGCAGAGTTAAAAGAGAGTGACTTGGGTCAGAAGCAGCCTTAATGTCTATTCAAACACTGCTTAATTACTCCAAGTAGTTACCTCTAACACTGTTACTGTGTAAGTCATGCTGAAGCTCAATAATTTCATTATTCAGCTGTGTAAACTAGAAATGTACTTGAAGGGTGCTGGTTTAAGTCAAGATAGTCAATCTTTTCTTTCCAAGACCTGGCCAAGTCTTCCTGGTTTTTGTTGTCTTTGTGGTACAATCCAACCATTGAAGGAGAAGCTGCTGCCCAAGCAGCAAACACGTAATTCAGGGAGTCACACGCACCCCATTCAATCTCTCTTAGTCTGTTGTCATCATCTCAGGGCAATTCTGCCCAGTAATAGTTCCTTCCTCTTGTCTTTTTCTGCAGGAATAACACTCCTTTCCAGCATTTCTTCCTTTTCTGTTTTTCCTGGTCTTAGTTCAGATGTTACATCTGATCTTCTTCCTCCTCTGCCTTTCATTTCTAAATTCCTTGCTAGAGCCATGGCCAGTAAATGTATCTTAGACTCTTCTGTTTTTTTTCATGTCTCCAGTCTGCTCAGCTTTTCACCTTTCCCTGTGTCCATCACACACAGACACAGCAACACTGAATCTTTGGCAGACTTTCTCCCAGCCACCCAGGCTGGTGTATTTCCCTGTGCTGGGGGCTGCCTGATCCACAGAAGACACTAATCAAGAGCCTGTTGTTAAAGTTCTGTGCCATCCTTGCTCTGTATTTTCCCAGGGCCTGTAGGAGCCATCCCCAGAAATCCCCAGGATGTTTGTCAGGTCTCTGCTCCAGTTCAGGTCACCCCCATTCCCCACATGTTCCAGATGCTCCTGCTCAGTTCCAGAGCCCTGGCTGCCAAGCAGCTCGATCCCCTGCGTCCTTACAGGCCACATTTGGATCATTTGCTGTCCTGTTTTCTCTGTTTTCCCAAACATCCCCATGACCCTTTTGTCATGGAATCCCAGTCTCTGGTCCAGGGTCCCATGCAGTGACCACCCTTCTGCCAGCTTCTCACCTGTAGTTACAACTGGCTGGCCTTCTCAGCATAGATTCTGTGTGCTCTTTTGTTAGATTGGCTGTGCCAACAACTCGTTCCCTAGTGTTTAGTACCTCAGCCAAGGGTATCCTCTGTGCTGGGCAGATTTCCCATCACTTTATTTATCCCTGTCTGTTTTATGCTGGCCAGGCCACACTCCCTCTTTATTTTCATGTGATTTACTCTGATCAGGTCACACACCACCAAAAGCTGCAGCAAAAACTCTATTTCCACTAAGGCTGCTCAGGGGAGTTTGGTGCTGACTCTGAGGTGCCTTCTGCTCCAGAGGTCCCAGGTGGGCTCACCCACTGCCAGCAGTTGGATGTTTGGAGATGAGAGGATGCAAAGGTGGTGGCTGAGGGTCCCATATAGGCTGTTCAAGGAGAAGCTGCTGCCCAAGCATTCAAAGAGGATCCAATAAGGTGTTAAAAGACCCCAGACCAAGAAATCACCTTCGTTCCAGGGTCTTCTTACCTTGTCAAGTTGCAGCTTCTAGTGATGGTTGTAGCCTCCTGATCTTCTGGTTGGTGCTCCTTGTGCACCTGTGCTCCTCAGCAGAAGATGGGAAATGGAAAGGTCCTAGATTTAGGAAAAACCTTTCTTAACATCAGTGTGTTACCAACTTCCTTCTCACACTAAAGGCAAAACCCAGCACGGTACCAGCTGCAAGGAGAATTGCTAAGAAAATGATGTGAAATTCCACAGCTTGTGGCCTAACTCATGCTATGTAAGTGAAGGCCAGCACACAGCACACCGAATCACACAATACTAGACCTCTAAGTGGTTAATTCTAGTTAAAACTTTCTTTTTAAAGCTGAACAACTGGTGTTTCTCAGCATATCTGCCAAGGTGATCTGTCAGATTTTGATGGTGTTTTTCAGCATCCAAAGCATGCTTTTAAAACAGAGCCACTGTCCCAGCTGTGAGAGCTGACCTTGCTCTTCAGGAGGGTTAAAAATTATAGAGGAGCAGACTTAGCATTTAGGAGACTGATGGGCATGTCCATCCCTTACCATATTGCCTCATGGACCTGTGGTCTCTTTATGTGTGAAATTTCAAGGAGATGCTCTGAAGTTCAGGCCCTGGTACCAAAGCTGCAGGTGCTTCCTTCATTCCTCTAGGTATGTTGTGAAGTGATTTTTTCAAAAACCATCCGCGTGTTGAAATGTTCTGTTCTTTAGGTTCATGCCAAGTGGATTTTGGACACAGATGTGTTCAATGAATGGATGAATGAGGAGGACTATGAGGTAGATGAGAACAGGAAATCAGTGAGTTTTCGACAGAGAATCTCCATGAAGAATGAAGAGGTAGGTGCTTCTCTCCTTACTTCACTATTACAGTGTATCTCTGCATGAACCAAATTTTTTGGCACTCAGACTTGCTAAAATTAGGCCCGTTAAACAGTTTGAGGTCCCTCTGGTAACATATTTTAGTTTTAGCTCTTTTCTGCTGTACGTCCTTTATCCAGAAGTGTAAATATCCCTTTTTGGTTTCCCCCCTTCCTGGGAATGGTAGGAAGTAGGACCCATTCTGCTTTCTCAGGACATGGGTGCATGAAACAGCATCAGTTAATATTTGATTTCTGAATTGTCTGGACCAAAATCCTTGTTAACCAATACTTGTATGCCTTCCAGAGCAGCCTCCCAGGTGCCTCCCAAAGTTAGGATTCTGGAGACACATTTGCTCAACCTTGAGACCAGGCTACTCACTGGGAAATCTCTTCTGATGGAGTGAACCAGTCACACATCAGCCTTTGAATTTTGCTCTCAGAGCACAGTAGAAAAATGAGGGGTTTTCACATTGACAGATGGAAGGTTCTGGAGCTGAATGCAGTGCAGGTTGTGATACTGCTCTTAGCCTCTCTGTTGTAGATGTATTCATAGAACCATAGGATGGTGAAGGACCTTAAAGATCATCAGGTTCCAACCCCAGTGGGACACCTCCCAGCAGAGCAGGCTGCACAAGCCCCATCCAGCCTGGCCTGCAGAGGCTGAGTGCAGCCTGGGGATGAGCTGACTGCTTCACTTCCCCAACAGCCCGTGCGGAGCCCGGAGAGGAGAGACAGGAAAGCAGCAGCAAGCACAAGGAAGAGGAAGCATTCTCCTTCTCCACCCCCCACTCCTGTGGAGTCTAGAAAGAAGACAGGGAAGAAAGGGTGAGTCTCCAAGTCTTAATTTGAGGCCCATTTTTTTCAAGAATCACTTGTGGGGCGATCTCTGTCCTCTCTCACTTGTCTCACCTTAGCATACAATACAATTCTGCAATAGACCCGTGTAGTTTTGCTGGGGCAGTGTGTGTGATTTCCTGACTCCTCTGCAGGGGGAGAACCTGGTGGTGGGTTGTCACATTATCTGTGCCAGGGATGGGGCTCATTGCTGCATCAAGAGGAGAACTTGCCCAATGGAAAGTTGCTTGGCTGCTTCTAAAGTGACTCAACCCACTTCTGTTGGTGCAGTCATGTTGTACATGCCCAGTTCTTGAAGTGTAGCCCCATAAATGACTGCATTTAATTGAGGAGTATTTTAATCTTTGTAGCCAGGTGTTTCAGGGTCTGCCTCTTAAATGCAGCATCAGCACTTGCATTTGTGACTGCAGATCAGAGGTTTCTCCTAGTGCTGGTTTGATCTCCTAAAAAAAAAAAGAAAAGAAAAAGGAAAAAAGCCAATATTATATCCGAATAAAAGCTTAATTATGAGGGTTTATGTCTGGATAGGGAGAGGAGCACTTTTGAACTAAAAATTCAGGTCTTGTTTAATAGACCCGTTGGGCTCTGATAAGACAAGACTAGAATTTTATCATCTGAAGCGAGAACGAGTTAAAAGTCCAGGTAAAAGAATTACTTTGTAATTCCAAATGTAAACTTGGACTCAGATCCTGTAAGGAGAGACATGGGGGTTCTGCCTTTGTTCCTCATCCAGCCCTTTTCCTTACAGAAGGCAGCATTCCATGCCTTGGAAAGCTCTGCTGCCTCTTCTGTTCTGCAGCAGATGCTCTTATTGCCACTTGAAAAGGGACAGATGTGAGTTGAGTCACTGCTCCCTTGACTCTCACTGGAGTCCAAGTGCTGCCAACATGCTGGAGGCACTTTTGGGTTGGGATCAAGATCTATACACAGTGGTGCTCTCCAGTCTTGAAACAGTGGGGAAGACTCTTCCTTTGAAATTTCCTTTGTTCTAATAATGCAGAGGATATTTTTAATTAACTCCACCAGCACCATTTCCTACAGCACTGATGTCTTCATAAGTGCTTTGAGCCAGTCCTGTAATTCTGATACCCAAAGACTAACATCAAGATGAGAACATCTGAGAGTTGCAGCTGGCAGAGCATTTGTGTCTGATCTGTTGTAGACAAGCAGCCTTATATGGGAAAAGAAGAGGGCAGAAAGAAGAAGATGAGCAGGAAGATCTTACAAAGGACATGGAGGATCCCACACCAGTACCTAATATAGAAGAAGTGGTACTTCCCAAAAATGGTAACATATGCACACACTGGCTTTTCTGAAGGTTAAAACTTGCTTAAACTGCACTGAAAAAATACACAAGTATTTTGTCAAATCTTGGAATTGCTTCATGGCTGTGGGGCCAGGTGGGACCTGTGCCATCTGTCTGCTCAGGGGTTGGGATGTGATGGCTGAGAAAGGCAGCAGGTTCTCCTTCCCTGGCCTTTCTGAAATAAGTTTGCCAGAATCCACCTAAATGTTTAGTTTCACCTATTTTAGGATTCTTCCTGCACATTAGAGAGAGTTTCATGTTTTGGGGGATGGGGTTTGCTGGAGGAAAAGGACTGTATGACAAGTACCCAAGAGAAGCTCATGAAATGTGTGGAAATTCTAGCAACACACCAATGCTTTCAGTGCTAAATTCTCCCCTGGGAAGTGTTGGTCTGTGCAGAACCTGTTCAGTAAAGGTAACTCAGAAAAATAATTCCTTCTGTCAAGTCCTTGACACCAAGCCTTTCTGAGTGTCACACTGTTTTGTTTTTACCTGGTTTGAACTTGCATGTAAGAGCTGCTACGTGTTGCACAGGTGGAAGGAGTAGATGCCTAGTCCAGTAGCTGCATGAATAGAAGCTGCTTTGTCTTCAGATGAGAAATGACAGAGAAATCAAACAAAAGATCTGTTGTACTCCCACTGCACAGATGAACTCTTCTGAACTGCAAAGGCATGACAGCAAAACTGGCTACTGATAAGATAGTAAAAGGTTGCTGGCTTGGATAGTTGTGCCTTGTCTGGTGGTTACTCATTAATTTCAATCTTTTTCCCTTTTGCAGTGAACCCAAAGAAAGACAGTGAGAACACGCCTGTCAAAGGAGGAACTGTGGCAGACCTTGGTAAAACCAGCACACACCCCCTCCAGCACCCCTTCCCCCCCATTTTATATTTGCAGACCAACAGAAGATATTTTTAACCTCCCAATTTTAAAAGAAAACTTGTAATTCTGCTCCTTTGTTGAATTAAGTTTTCCTGTGTTTTCAAGTTGAAGCAGGGGACCCTTTTTCACTTGCAAGGCTGGTCCCTTGGATGCAGAGGTTTTTTAATGCCACAAGCTCTTCCCTGGCAGAATTCTTCTTTTTTTGCTTGGAACCAAGGGCACTCACAGGTTCCCTCAGCTTTGCTGAGCCTTTGACATAAGAGAGATAAATGAGTGTCCTGTATCCTCTTACACAAGGCTACACTAGAGCACTGGGAGAGGCAGTGAGGGGGTGTGGGTTCCTAAGTGTGGAAAAATGTTGATTATCCTTCCTCTCTATTCTTACTTCTGTTCCCTGACCTGGGGTAGCTGAGTGTCTGCATGAGGTGGAGACTGCTGTACCTTTGCTTTCTTCCTCACTGCCCTCCTAAAAGAAATTAAATACCCTTTCCAGTTAAGCAGTTCCAAGGCTTATGAATAATCAGACACTTCAATTAGTTTCATTTAGTTTAATTCTTAATATTTTTACCTTTCAGATGAACAGGATGAGGAGACTGTGGCAACTGGAGGAAAGGTAACAGTAGCCATTTCTTGCTGAGTTAGGTACAAGCTGAGATCTTCATCTCACCTTCAGTAACCCATTGTGTAATGATTTTCAGCTGAGACATAAGATTCATTTAGTCACTGGTGGGAATGTTGTTTTGCTGTTATAAAGATTCTGCAAGTACTTGGAGATGATTTATGTTAAGTCCAGTGTAGCAGAAACGAGAATGAGGAGACAGATGCATTGTTGAAGGAGCATTTTTCAGATGCAAAATCATTCAGAGTTTATGCTGCTTCTTTAGATTTCAGGGCTAAATCTAAACCCCAGGAAGGCTTCCTCCTAGTTTTAATAGAGTCACAGGAGTAGTTTCTGTATTTAATTCCATTGTTGGTGTGCCAGGCACTATTTTTAACAGCTTGCCTAGAAGAAGAGGGCTGCCTGATCAGACAGGTCAGAGGAGCTCACATCTCAGTGAGGCTCTGAGCTGCTCTCCTGCACAGACACAAAGCTGGGCTTGGCTATAACATCATGAAGAAAATCTTTCTCTCCACATTGACCTACTTCTAGTTTTACCCTATTTCAGTTCATACACCCAATCTCTAGATGTGTTTTCAGAAGTGCTCAGAAATCCTTTCTCAGGTTTTAAAACAGGGAGAAGACAACTCTAGGTATGCAAACCACTGGCTAGGGAGTAGCCTTTCTTTTAGGTTTTAGGCAGAGGTATCGGCCTGGGGAGCAGCGAGTTGGGTACCTGGGTTACAGGTGCACAAACTGAAATCCCCAAAACACCTTTCTTAGGTTTCCAAGTTAGGGAACTAACTGGGAAGGAACATGACAGTAGGGCAGTCCAGGATTTTCAGTGTCACTTCTCCATCTCTGGGTGGAGAATGACCTGGAGTTGTGGGACTCATGCAGGAGCTTTAGCATTTGTTCCATGTTTAGTTTGGAAGAGGTTTACTTTTATGTCCTAGGCTGAAGTGGGTTTTTGGGATGTGGTCTGTTCCTGTGTTTAGTGAATGTATTTTGAGGAGAAGGGTATTAGAAGTTGAGGGGATGAGGAGAGGAAGAACTTTTCTGAATAGCTGTTGTCAGATCACTAAATAGACTTAGAAGGATACCTTGTTCTGGGGGGAATTTATTCCCTCCACAGAGTTGTCATTGACACCAGTGATTCTTTTAGACTTGCTTTAGGGGCTCAGCTATTTTTAACAGTCTGTTGTTTTTCTGAAATGTGTCTGGAGTAGTAATTTAGGTGAAGAAAACCATTTAATGTTGAGTTGCCTACAGTCTTTTCAAACAGCACCTGGGGTCAGTGTCCTGACCCCCTCTGTGCCCTTTACCTGTTGGAATAAGGAGATGAGCATGTGCTGGAACTCCAGTTGCAGAACATCTTGTGTACACAGGAGGCTTCTGCTGGGAAGCAACAGAAAGTAACCTTGGACTTGTCCCTCTTCTTGGAAATCTTAAAATCTTGCTCACTGATGTTTTCACAACCCTATAGGAGCAAACTCATGGGTCTGTTCTCCATCTGAGTGGAAGCAGGTACAGGGACATGGAGTTACAAGTTGAACTTAGTATCTCCTATTTGCAGGAAATACCCAAGACCAGCTTGAAGACTGATCAAAGTGACTTTATCCAAGCAAAAATTTAGAGTAATGAGACATGGTTCTGCATACACTATTACTGCTGACAAGTGTCTTCCAGTGAAACCAGAACCAAGGAATCTGATTTCCTGTAATATTGAGGAACAAGAAGGTTCATGGGGGAAGAGAGGCAAAAAATACAACCTGTCTTAGACAATATTACAAACTGCTGCAGTGTCAGTAACTGGACATGGCAGCAAGAGTCAGGCTGACAGCTCACCAGGTGCTCAGGGTTTGTGCTGGATGCATTACCCAGGGGTGCAGTGTGCTGCAGAACTGAGTGTGTCCCTGGGATTTGGGGGCAGGCTCAGTAGAACCTTCTGGCCTTGTGCTGCCTTCCATATTTTCAGGAACACAGATCACACTTTCTCTGGTCCCTGAGATTTTCCTCACTGAGCAGAGATTTCACTAAATTAAGTTTAATCTGCACAGGATTGGGAAGCACTTGGTTTTGACTAAGTTTGTGCTGCCTGAGAGTTGTTAGTTATGTCTCTTGCAACCTGCTAATTGTTGTGTTCTGTCCCTGGAACAGGAAGATGAAGATCCCAACAAAGGTGATCAGAGTCGGTCAATTGATCCAGGTGAAGATAATGTCACAGAACAAACCAACCACATCATTATTCCCAGCTACGCATCTTGGTTTGACTACAACTGGTAAGGGAGTCATTTGGAAGTGGGGGAAGATTTGAGTTTGGGTGGTTGTTTCTTACGAGTCAAGCTGAGAGGTGAAAGAGGTGACTTCTTGCTTAGGCCTGGTTCCCATGTATGGTACATCTTTTCCATTTCAGAATCTTTCTGAGCTGACTTCTGAGTTTTCAGAGATTGGGAAAGAGGAAGAGAATTTCAGACAGCACAGATCTTCAGACAGTTTTTTGCTTTACACTGATTTTATTATTCCTCTCTCTTACCTACTTTCTAGTCCTTGTAATGATCTTTCTGTGTTTGTATCTACTTCTGAAAGCTGCTGGCTTGTTATTTTGCTTCAGATCTTGACTTTGAGGACGTCATTGATGATAACAGGGAGGATCCTTGTTTCATTTTGGAGTCCTCAGTGGGGTCAGAGATTGTGGTGTGCTAAGGCCATAAAGCTCCCTATAGTCATCCTAATGTTCTCTGCATACTTGGGCTTTTGTGGTGTGGGAAGAGAAGCAAATAATTGGGAAAGTCGTTCTGAAGTTAAACTCCTACCTAGTGCTTTTTTAAAACACAAACTGGGGGCAGTTGGCTGGAAGGGCTCTCATGTGAACTGGTGTTTCATCCTTGCTTTAGAAGCTGAGACATTATTCAGGCTGGAATCTAAAAGAGCTCTGTTGTGACACCTGAGTGTTAGGATTCCTGTGCAACGTCCAGAAGTGGAGAACTTTTTACCCTAGTGAATTAAGGTGGGATCTGAGCTGTCAGTGTAAGGGTTGGTTCATTTACCAGCTCTGGCCAATGTTGTTACCTGGAGCTGGTGGCTCAGCCCATGTCTGTGCTAGTGGCCTGAGTTGACCTAAATTTCCATAAATAGAACCATCTGCTTTCTCAGTCCCTTGGCTCTCCCACTTTGAGATGATCCTGGAAGCAGAACAACCAAGGATCACACAGGCTGAATTTCTAGGTGTGGGGAAGAGCTGGAGGTGTAGGTCTGTTAGGCACACAGAACAAAGTTCCCCACTGGTGCACTTCAGAAGGAGATCCAGAGCTCTGATCTGCTGGAGATCAGGAAAGGACACTTGGTATGGCTTGATGGACAGGCTGCCCAGGGCAGGGGGGGAGGCCCCATCCCTGGAGGGGTTTCCAAGGCCTGGAGATAGTGCTGAGGGACATGGGGCAGGGGTGGCCTTGGCAGGGCTGGGGGAACAGTTGGACTCAAAGGGCTTTTTCAACCCAAACGATTCTGGGATTTTAATTGAGATTTGCTCTAAAGGTGGGCACATCTGCAGTCTGTGCTTCAGCTCCTTGCTTGTAACTTGAAGGGACAAACATACTGCCCTACTGAGAAAATTATGACAATGAAGTTTTGTCACAAGGTGCCAGTTGCCTGTTGGGAGTGACTGGTGACAATGGTTGGTTGAAAACTCCTGGTTGGTGCATTTGTGGCAGCAGCAATGGTTCTAGTGATGTTCTGAGAGCTCAACCTGAGAAACAGATCAGCATGAGCAGAAAGACTAATGAAGTCTGAAGAAAGAGAATAAACCCCACATTGCATCAGGTGTACCTGTTCTGACCTTGCAAATGGCAACCTTGAACCATCCCTGTGGGGGAACAGTGGTCATCTTCAAGGTAGCAGGATGGTGGGAAAAGAACCTTAGATTTTGTGGGCTCTAGTGCTCCAGAAACAGCCCATTGAGCTGATTGGGATTTGAAGCTGAAGTAACAGCACAGGTGTGAGACTGAGAGTTTGCTGTCTCTCAGCACTGCTTTTCCCTTCAGAGGGAGGTTTTTGTGTCCTGGAGAACCAGAGGGCACAGGTCCCACCTCAGCCTGCAGGTGTTACTGCTGTTGCTGTGCCAGCAAATGCTCCTTGGGTTGTGTGAACATATAAACATCCACTGTCTGCAGCCCCCTCAAACTGCAAATACTTCTTTAATGTGTCCAGTCACAGCTCATTAAAAGCAAGCTGAAGAATAATTCTAATCTACTCCTCTCAAAATGTTTTCTAAATGGCTGGTTTAGAATATTCCTTGCTAGAATTAATTTTCTAGTAAGAAGATAAATTTTATTAAATGCTCAATTCAGTCTCAGTGTGATCTCAAATGCTTTAGGCAACATCACTTCAAGAACTCTGTAATTTGTTTGTTACTAAAATCTGAACAATTAATTGGTTAATCTTCATCTTCAGGTTTGAGTATTTTCCCAGGAGTGAGAAGTTAAGAGTGAGCAGTGTCAGCATGAAAGGACAATTACATGGTAGATTAAATGCTGAACATATAGGAGAAAGGAGGATTATTTTTAAAAATATTTTTTCTGTGTTTCCTTAAAAGGTACTAATTCTTAAAGGGCCACTGTGGTTCTCCAGATTCTGGCTTGCATGAAGTGTGTGCCCCTCTGCAAGGTTCTATCTTAAACTATTCAAACAAACCCTGCATTTCTGATACTTTTTTTAAAGTAAAAATCTCTTTTATCCTTGGAGCTGTTTCCTCACTTGGCAATAGGTGGGTTAAGTCTCAGGTGCCTCAATTTGCACAGTAAGATCTTAAAAGAAAGGAGTGAATCCACTAATGAAGCTCCATATACACTGACTGTTGACTTGGTAATTTTGCTTTGCAGTGAAAACCCTCTTATATCATATACTATGGAGAACAAAAAATGATCTTGTTCATTTGTTGGTGATGAAGTCATCTGTCATTAAACATTTCAGGACTGAGTTTCCTTACTCGTCTTAAAATAATCACTTCCTCCAAGCCTTTATTTAGGTGTTTTGAGAATAAATATGAGAATATAATTTCATATGTTTCAGTAGTGCTATTTACATTGTCAGGCTGTTAGTACTTGCAGAGTGGAAAATTCTACTGAAAGACCATTTAAGCTTAAATGAAACTACCTGGAACAGCTATGGAAGGAAAAAAGTACCAGTATATCTGTCAAATAACTGAAGCTGAGTTTGCTGGGATCTTTGCCTTCCCTCATTTCATATACTCCAGAGCACCTTGTGTCAATAGTTCTGCTCTTCCATACATGGTCAGATTTTGCTCTATGTTTCTTCCTGGGATGTTCAAAGGGGAAGAATTATTTTGAAGACATTGCTTAGTTGCTCCAAATATCCATACATTGGATTTTATTTTCCCAGCTAACCAGAGAGGTAGTAGCTACATTCTTAAAGCCAGTCTGTGTCCTGCCTAACTTGTGAGCTCCAGTAATAGCTGTGGATCCAACTTTGGGCTTGCACTCAGAGCACTTCTTTGCAGTCCCATCTTCTAAATATACTCCATAAAAGCTGGTTGTCCCTCAAAATAGTCATTTGAAGTTGTGTAGAACACTCCAAGATTGTTTGTTACTGAGCATCTGAATTGTGTGTGTTACAGCATTCATGTGATTGAACGTCGTGCTCTTCCTGAATTCTTCAATGGAAAAAATAAGTCCAAGACTCCAGAAATGTAAGTAAAGCAGGTGAATAAAGTCATGTTAGAGAGGTGAAGGAGACTCCAGCTTCATGAGCTTGAGGTCACTTCAGCTCTGCATGTGTGAAGCAGATACTGTCTGTAGGGGCATGAAGGAAGGAGAGAGCACCTGTGCAACCACTTCTGGTTTGATAACGCTGGCATTATTGTAGAAGAGGTAAAACTTCAAATGTCAAAGTAGTACTTAGTAGTGCTTATCCAGGAAAAATAAAACTAGTTTCTCCCAAGTAGTACTGCCACCAGATCTTGAACTTTATGTGGTACAAAACATGATCATCTTTCTGGGATGTCTGAAGAACTCGGTGATGCTGTAGAAACTTAACAGCCTTGCTTATTTTTCTCTCTCTCAGAATCACCAAGGCTGGAAAAAGACCTTTAAAATCATCAAGTCCAGCCTATGACCAACACCACCACATCTCCAGACCATGGCACTAAGTGCCACCTCCAGCCTTTCCCTGAACACCTCCAGGGATGGTGCCTCCACCACTTCCCTGGGCAGTCCATCCCAATGTCTGATCACCCTTTCCATGAGGAAGTGCTTCCTGATATCCCACCTAAACCTCCCCTGGAGCAGCTTCAGGCCAGGCCCTTTTGCCTTGTTGCTGGTTGCCTGGAAAAGGAGCCCAACCCCACCTGAGCACAACCTCCCTTCAGGTGGTTGCAGAGAGTGAGAAGGTCCCCCCTGAGTCTCCTCTTCTCCAGGCTGAGCAACACCAGCTCCCTCAGCCTCTCCTCATCAGACTTTCCCTCCAGTCCCTTCCCAGCCCTGTTGTCTCCCCTGGACCTGCCCCAGCACCTCAATGTCCTTCCTGCAGTGAGGGGCCCAGAGCTGCACCCAGTGCTCGGGGTGAGGCCTGCCCAGTGCTGAGCACAGGAGGAGAATCACCTCCCTGCTCCTGCTGGCCACACCATTCCTGGTACAAGCCAGGATGCCACTGGGCACCCTGCTGGCCACCTCGTGCCATGCTGGGCTTGTGGGCCTGAGGAGCTGTGTCTGCCAGCCCTGGGCACTGAGCAGGGGCTGCGTCAGGCTGAGCAGTGGATTTTGCACGGTTCTCTGTCTTGATTTCATGCTTCCCTGAGCAGCTGATTGGTAATTCTGAAAGTGCAGGTGAGGGTCAGAAAATGAATCTTCACAGGCCTGAGATCTTAACCCTGTTTTCAAGTCTTAGGTGGCCTGATTTAAATCAGAGGGCTGGAGTTGGGCATTGCAAGAAGCAAAATATTTTTATTTAGCTGTTCCAAACCCTCTAGTGACTTTTTAATCCTGGACGTGCCTGTTAAATCTTGGTGGGGTTCTCTCTGAGTTTAGATCTAGTTTGTACCTCTCTCATTTCCTTGGGGGATTTGGGGTCTACTGCAGAACTTAAGTGTTCTTAATTCAAAATTAAACACACCCAGTTTAAATGCCTTCCCTGAAGCTGTTCACGACAAAATGTTCAAAAAGCTGATTATCGTGTTGAGGTGTTGCAGGTTTTTTCATACCTCAAATGATGAACTTGTGATCTGACTTAGCAATGCAGGGGGATAAGCTGCTGGTTTTGTATCAAATGCTTATCTTGAGAATCTGCTGCAGGGCTCCTTGGGTTGGTAAAAGCACATCTCCCTCCTCTGAGAATTCTCTGTGCTAACAGTACGTGACGTTATTCCAACCAGTCTTGAAAGGTGATTAAGGGAAGATGGTTCAGCATCAGGTTTTTGATCAAAATTATAATCCTAAACCCTGAGAGCTCACAAAACCAAAACCCCAACCATCAATTTGCTCACCATTGCATGCTTGTTAACTGGGAGAGTGGAGCTGAGCTTGTGGTTGCTTTATCTTGGTGTCACATCCTGGTCGAGTCAAAAAGCATCTTGTGGGGATTTTAAACTGATATTTTTTTTTCAATTAACTGCTAAATGAAGCACTTGAGATGTCTTCTCAGGACATTGCTTTAACATCAGCAAAGCTGATTATTGCATCCAGAACATTCCTTCAACAGTTCCTTCCTAGTGCAAATAATAGTGGTGATACCACCCTGCCCTGCCAGCAGGCACAGGAGGCAGACTTCAGAGAGGGTTCTGGTGCTTCCATCTCCTCTCCTCAGGCATGGTGGATATTTTGTGAGGATTCTGATCCAGTCTTGAGATAGAAATTAGAAACTTTTTCAGCCTGCAGAAGAGAAGAGTTGGGAGACCTTAAAGTAGTTGCCCAGTGCCCAAGGAGGTTATTGAGGTGGATCCAGGCTCAGTATTGAAGGCAAAGCACTGGGATGGGGCCCTGGGAAACTGGGAATGTTCTGCCCGAAGCAGCCTGGTCTGCTGAATGTTTTCAGTGCTGACCATGGTCTGAGTAGGAGATTGGCTGAGAGGCCTCCTGAGGTCCCTGGCACCAGGAAGGATTTTCAGTCTGCAGTCTTTACTCACAGCTCCTCTACATGTGTGAGTTGCAGAGGGAACTACAGCTGCATCATAGTGATTCCAGAATGTATTTGATCCAGAATGGAGTTGACACTAGCTCTGCTCCATCAGTTTTACTCTTCAGTGTTTTTTTTTGGTTTGGGATTTCTAGGGCTTAGTGTCCAAGGCTGCAGACATTTGTTGGTGAAAAGAATTGCCTGTGCTTCATCCTGGCCCTTGATGTACTCATCACTTGTAATCCCAAGCTTCCTTTTTCAGTTGACATCAAAACATGAGGTTTCCTGATACTCCCCTCTGAGATGCTACTGGTTGTTGCCCACAAGTGAAGCCAGTGAGAGACCCCTCCCAATCCTGATATTGTCCTAGAGAAGTATTTCTGTTGCCTTTTAGGGCTTGCAGGAGCAGCATGAGGTCTTGGCTTTGTGTTTTCTTTTTAAATAAGAGAAACATCCTACTGAATGGAAATATCTTCCCTCCAGCTCCATTTCCAGGCCAAACAAAATACCATGTTTAAAAGCTCACACAGATTCACTCTTGTGACAGTGGTGCCTGGGGGGTGGTTTCTGTCTTAAAAGGAACGTTAAGTAAATACTAGTTGGCTTCTCTTTCTCACTGTTGACAAGTTCTAGCTGATGGGTCCTGTCATTGTCACAGACTCCCTGCAGGATAAACTTCTGGGATGTTTCTGTCTTAGGCTTCTCTCTTCATCTGATAATGTGACCTTAACTAAAAAATATTTAACTAATTTATTCAGCCAGGACCACTTCCAAGTACCTGTTCTTGAGCAGTTCCCTTCAGGAGCATTCAGAAATGTTCCTGAATGATCCTCTATGGAAGATGCTCCTTTGTTTCTTGCCCACCAAGCATTCAGCATAGAGGAGCCCAATACCTAGTCCCATAATTTCTTTTTTCCTAGAAGTTTTATATATAATTTGGTCAGAATAAAGATTTGGGCAGGAATGTGTATTTGCAGGTCTTGCCTGTGAAAGGCATTGATGTTCTATCTCTGTATGACTTTTTGGTTAAGGTGCTTTTGCCCACAGTGTGAGAGATGGCAGCTTCTTCCCTTCCAGGCTCCCAGAGGGATCATGTGCCTGTTTCCACGTGGAGACCAGACCCCATTATTTTTCTCAGCAGCTAGTAGTTGTTGTACTACTACAAACTATGTTAGTTGGTGACCGAACTGCAGCAACTATTTGTGTGATCTGCAATTCCAGGATGCATGGATCCATGAATCCAGAATGGCGCAGCCTGGAAGAAAAGGGTTGTATTCAGTATATAAAAATCTACTTACCTGCTGCTTTTGGTTTTCATCAATAAAACTTGCCTGTTTGTGTTTGCTTGCCAGTATAGCAGGTGTTTGGAAAAAGTGAATCCCAATCTGGGATTCTATGATCCTCAGACAGTAACAAGAGATGGGGCAAGAGGAACCAGCCTCAAGTTGTGCCAGGGGAGGCTGAGGTTGGATCTGGGGAACAATTCCTGCCTGGCAAGGGTTGTCAGGGCCTGGCCCAGGCTGCCCAGGGCAGGGGGGGAGTCCCCATCCCTGGAGGGGTTTCCAAGCCCTGGAGATGGTGCTGAGGGACATGGGGCAGGGCTGGGGGAATGGTTGGACTCCATGATCTTGAAGGTCTTTCCCAACCCAAACGTTTCTGTGAAAATGCACATTCTGACCTTGTCAGTGTCAGGGTGCAGGAGCTGCTTCCCACTTGTCTTCCAGATACCTGGCTTACCGCAACTTCATGATTGACACCTACCGCCTGAACCCGCAGGAGTACCTGACCAGCACTGCCTGCAGGAGGAACCTGACTGGGGACGTGTGTGCTGTCATGAGGTAAAAGCCTTTTCCAGCCCCTTGCAGCCACTGCTTCCACTTTTACAAAATCCCAGTTTGACAGCTGAGTTTTGCCAGGTTTCTGTTTCTCCAGTGTCAGGCTGTGAGGCACAGCAGAGCCCTGGAAGTTAGGAGCTTCAGTGTCCCTTCAGGAAAGAGCAGCTGCAGATAGATGAGGGAAGGAAGTGAGTGGCTGTGCAGCCCTCACCATCCACACATAGATGAGGGAAGGAAGTGAGTGGCTGGGCAGCCCTCACCCTCCACACATAGATGAGGGAAGGAAGTGAGTGGCTGGGCAGCCCTCACCCTCCACACATAGATGAGGGAAGGAAGTGAGTGGCTGGGCAGCCCTCACCCTCCACACATAGATGAGGGAAGGAAGTGAGTGGCTGGGCAGCCCTCACCCTCCACACATAGATGAGGGAAGGAAGTGAGTGGCTGGGCAGCCCTCACCCTCCACACATAGATGAGGGAAGGAAGTGAGTGGCTGGGCAGCCCTCACCCTCCACACATAGATGAGGGAAGGAAGTGAGTGGCTGTGCAGCCCTCACCATCCACACATTGTCTGCAAGTGGTTCCGTGCGGGCAGCCCCAGCTTTGCTTTGCCTGTGTCCTTAATTAGGTCATTTCCTCTTACACTATAGCCAAGGATGCCATGTTTTGTTTTCTGCAACAATCTGAAGTGCAGTCAGGTCTGCACAAAGCTCGTGCCGCTTGATTTATTTTGCCATTTGTGCTCAGTGAGGGACTAGAGAAGATTCTGGATGTGTGCTTGATCCAGAAATGCAAACTCCTTCCCTTGCCTTCTCCTTCCTGCAGCGTCAGGCGAGGCTTTCGTTCTCAAGGTCTTGATCTGTTGTGTTGTTTCACAGAGTACATGCTTTTCTGGAGCAGTGGGGTCTCATTAACTACCAGGTGGATCCAGAAAGTCGCCCCATGGCCATGGGACCTCCCCCTACCCCCCACTTCAACGTCCTGGCTGACACCCCCTCGGGGCTCATGCCTCTCCACATCCGCACTCCGCAGGTGGGTCCCCAGCTCCCCCCAGCAGGAGTTTGTCTTGCCTCTAGGTTCCCTGCACCTCCTGAACAATTCCTCTGTTATTTGCCTAAATAATCACTTCTTTTGTCCCTCTAGGTTGAGAGTTTCCAGTAGTTGGAATCTCCAAAACAAATCTGCTGATGTTGTGTGCCAGTGACCTTATCTCCAGCCACCCCTGTAGATTTGTGTTCAGCTTATTTGCTCAGTCCCTGTTCTGCTTAGCATGGGTCTGAAAACCTTAGATAACTTTGAATTCCTGCCCCTCTCACCTTTCTCTTGTAACGTTTGCTTGCAGATTCCAGCTGCTCAGCAGATGCTGAGTTTTCCTGAGAAAAACAAAGAGAAGCCTACTGACCTGCAGAACTTTGGCCTTCGCACGGACATTTACTCAAAGAAGACTTTAGCAAAGGCAAGCACGTGGGGGTTTTTTATTCTGAGCCTTCTCTTAAGGTCTCTTCCTCGAGTGTCCTCCAGTAGATGACTTTGAGACAACATATGTTGCTCTTATGTTCCTGTTTGAGATGTTTTCTGTCTCAGTGTGGGATGTTGAGATTCCTCACTTAGGGTTGTGTTGGGAGTGGAAGTAGAGCCGTGCAGCTCTCCCAGGCTGGTCAGTTCTGTAAGTCTTCAGACCCTGAACTGTTGTTACTTGATTGTGTATTTCACCTGAATGGTTCAGAATCAACAGACTGTCCAATAATTCAAGACAGAAACTGAGACCTTCAGCACAGGGCCTTTAACTGTGCTGCTTTCCAAGTGTGAGCAGGGTTTTCCAGACTAGGAAGTTGCTTGATAACAAAAAGTGTCCCAATACCTTTGCAGGGCATGATTTAGTAGGGTGCTGTATCTGTGTAGTTGCAGTTCTGAGCCACCTTTGTCAATAACTCCACAACCTGTTGCCTTTTAACTCCTCCTGCTGCCTGATACCAGTGTGTGTGCTTGGAGCTACTGCAGAAATACCAGTTCACTGCTTCAGCACAGCCTTGGGTCTAGACATCTGCAGTGCTGTGCTGATTAGAGCCTCTTTTGGGCTGATACCAGGCTAATTCTGTGTAATTGGTTGCTCTAAGTACAGTGTTCATTGTACTAAGAAATCAGATTAACTGTTTTGGTTTTTTTTAAAAAAAAAAACCCAAACAACAAACAAACAACAAAACCAAACCACAAGAGATCAGGATTTTATTTATAAAGGCTTATTCCATATCACTTTTTATGGGAGTGACTTTTTCACTTAGTTTAGGGAAGTATAAATATTCACCAAATTCATAAGTCTTTACTGGTTCTAGACTTGAGTTCTGTTTACAAGCATCTAGCCCAATGAACTTGAGCAGATCTGTTTGCCAAGAGTTCATTTCCATTTTTGCTTTGTGTGGCAGTCGCTGAGAGCTGATCAGCTGCTGGGTGACTCACTTTGATTAAAGTTCTCTGTGGGTTGATGATCTATTTGAAATGCATCTTGATATAGGATAGATTTACTTGTCCTAAATCACAGGATGGTTTGGGTTGGGAAGGACCTTTAAAAATAATCTAGTTCCAACCCCCTGCCATGGGCAGGGACACCTCCCAGCAGCCCAGGCTGCTCCAAGCCCCATCCAACCTGCCCTTCAACACTGCCAGGGATGGGGCAGCCACAGCTTCCCTGGGCAACCTGGGCCAGGCTCTCCCCACCCTCACAGCACACAATTTCTCCCTCCCATCTCAGCTCCAGCTCCCTCTGGACGCTGGAAACCCTTCCCCCTGCTCCCATCCCTCCCTGCCCTTGTCCCAAGCCCCTCCCCAGCTTTCCTGGAGCCCCTTCAAGCACTGGAAGGTGCTCTAAGGTCTCCCTGGAGCCTTCTCTTCTCCAGGCTGGACACCCCAACTCTCCCAGCCTGGCTCCAGAGCAGAGCTGCTCCAGCCCTCCCAGCATCTCCAGGGCCTCTGGACTCCCTACAACAGCTCCACATCATTCTGTGTCCTCCAGCACTGAAGTCTGCTCTCCTGTCCCACACACAAACAGAACCCAAGTCTCTACAAAGTGCTAACAACGTGCTGTCTGAGACACGTTCCAAGGTGTAATCAAGAAATTGAGCTGTGAAAAGAACAGGGGAGAGCACAGCAAGGTGTGGCTGTCACACCATCCCCAGAGCTGTGTCCCTTCATATGCAGATTATCTTCTTGTAATTACTCTCTCTTTCCAGGTGGCTTATCTCATTTATAAAGATACTTATTTTTAAACTGAGTCACTGCTTTTAGGTGAACTCTATTTTTTATTATTTTCGGCCACCTCACACAGCCCAGTCTGCCTGCCTTGAAAGCAGAGGTTAGAGGGGTAAGTTTATGTTGACGTTAGCACCACACTGCTGTGAGAAAAGTGCCCTTTAAGCTGAGAGAACCCCAGGTGAGCCTGAATCTGGTGGGCACCATTGCTTCCTTGGGCTCCAGGGGAGCCGGATAAAACTCTGTCGTGTCCATTGGCTCTTGCTGTCCTGTGGTGTGAGCTGTAGTAAGTTTACTTTACTGCTCTCTTCTTGTCTTCATTTTACTGGCCAAAGTCAAGCTGACCAGAATGTGCCAGCACTCCAGAGGGCTCTTACTATTTAGGAGAATCCTCTTTGCTGTGTGTGCAAGCAGAGATGGCCAGGAGAAGAGGGTAGTAAATCACTTGGCTTTGGCTTGGCAGAAAAGAGGAGTTGAAGGTTCTCCCAGCTGTGTTGGGAAGGTGGGATCTGTGAGCCCCAGCCTCTGGGGAGAGTGCAGGAATGTGCTCACCTGCAGGCCTCACCTGCATGAGCAAATCGTGGGAAGTGAACTGCTGTGCAATGTAACCAGGGAGGAGGAGGGCTGTGAAAGGTACATGTTTGAGAGGATTAAGTAACAGAATCTTCCCCTTAATGTTTTATTCGATAAAGGTCAGTGCAAAAAGACCTGAATTTCACTTTTTATCCCTTCCTATCTTTTGTAGAGTAAAGGTGCAAGTGCTGGAAGAGAATGGACGGAACAAGAGACTCTGCTGCTCTTAGAGGTAAGTTCATGAGGGCAAAACCAAGGGCTGGGAATCCAAAACACACAGGATGTTACATGCTTTAAAAAAACCCCTACATGTGGATCTTTCCAGGTGGAGTTAGGTGGCAACAACATGCTTGCTTTTACCGAAGCTGGAGTAGTGAAGCAGAGTTTATAGTGGAAACAATCTGCTGGGGTGGTTGAGCAGCTGTGTGTGCAGGGCTGCCTTTCAGTTGTGGCTGTGGCTTTTGAGTTGGTACAACTCAGAAACTCCCTCCAAAGCAAAGCTCTTCCTTCAGCTGTCATGGCTACAGGAATGTTAAGACAAAAAAAGAGATGGTGGTAACATCTGTGCACTAGAGGGGCTTCATGTGCTTTAGGGTTTGGTTCTGATTTAGGATGCTTGAATAAACTCAGGAGCAGATCTTGCAGTGCAGAGACATCTTATCCTTGAAAGAAGTTACTAATAGCATGAAATAAATGTCCTTCAGGTAATGGTTTGCCTGCCACAAAGAAATCCTTTGAAATTCTGATAAACTTCAGAGGTTCCTGGCTAAGCCACAGCATGTTAGGGAAACAGCTCATCTTTAAGATTAAATTGTTAAGAAACAGTTGAGGCCGTTTCCTGTCTCCTGCCACTAAGAAGGGAAGCTCTTTATTTGGTAGCTCTCTGATCCCATCCAGCTTCCCATTCCTTCTGCCACATGGCTGCACTTGGTGTGTTCTTGAAGCTTTTTCCAGAAGCCTACAAGAAATACGTATGAGGTGACTCAAATCACATTGGCACTGTAGAAATCAGGTCAGAGAACTGTTAGCACACTAGAATCCAGCCTTTGTCCCCAGATTGCTTAATTTGATGCTCTTAAACCACATGGTAATTGTCTGGTCTCTTGGAGTTCCAGCCTAGGATGAAGACCATCCCATGAGGTGCACTCCAGAAGCAGGTTCTGCTGCCATCAGGGTAGCATTGTTTTCCCACAGTCTTTTTTTCAGAAGAAGAGTCTTAGTGGCCTGAAATAATTAATGTGCTGCCACTTCCTTTAAAGAAATTACCATTTCCCTACCCTCCTTTTACAGGAATGTTTTCTGATGTAGAGGTTGGGTGCTTGGTTATTTTTTTAATGTAATTCAGAGTTCTGAGATAAAAATTCCAGTTTGGGGTTTTTTGGTGTGTTTGCTTTCCCTTGGACAGCTTAAACCAGGCTGCAGTTGTGTGATTGTTCTGGCTTTGTGTCTGTACATGTGTCAGTAAACCCATTGAAAAGTTAATTTCAAAAGGAAGAGCATGGACAATGGATGTGGATGGAGCTGAACAATACTCAGCCTCTGTGTGGGGCTGCTTTTCTGAGCTAGACAGTGTCTCACCAGCACTGTACTTGGGTTCAGCCTTCACAGATGGGAAGTGTGTTCATCCAACAGCCAAAATAGGTATTTGGGGCTTTTTTTTAATCTTAGGTTGTTACACAGTGTCTAACCAATATTTTTCTATTGACATGTAGAAGAATCTTGCTTATAGGGTGAAAACAGCCAGAATGTCTGCAGTGACATTCTTGTGTGGAGAAACAAGACTGGTCTCTTCTTTGCTTACTAGTATTATTATTTAAAATCCATTCTTTTTTATGCTTGTAGCTTATAGTCATACATAGCAAGTAGTAGCCTGATTAAATAGTCCAGATGACACATTCTTGTTTTAAGAAAGCAAAACAAAAAATCCTGTATCTTGAGATAGAAATTATATTTAAAGTGAGTTTAAATTAATGATGTTCTTCATTCTTTGTGGATTTAACCTATGAATAAATCAGTAAAGAGTACATCAGTTCAAGCATAAGTAACACAGCTCTAACAAGCCAGCTCAGTCCAATTAAATCCTCAGGGTAGCTTTGGGCAAATATATATGCAGTGAAGTTCCAACGAATACATCTTATCTTAAAATAATTATTGTCCTTCCGCCTGTTGACTGAATAAACTGGGGGGAGGAAATACTGGTTCCCTCCCAGAATCATCTTCCCTGCCAGACCTCCTCTGTATCTCCACAGAGCACTATTCTTGCACAGTTAAGTGCATTTTCAGCTATTTATAGTCAGGACAACTATTGTGAGAGCTAGTTTGTCTGGCAGAAAAATAACAAGCAATGAAGGAGAATGAGCAGAAAATAACAACCCTGCATGGGCACGAGGAGCAAAGCTGATCTAATATGCTGCTGTGATTAAAAATGGATCGACAGTGACACACAACTTAGAGACTGGGATGTGTTGGGGAAAGTGAAATGAAGGTTGCATGTTGAATGAATATGTCCCCGTGAGTGTGACCTGGTGAACTGAGCAGTTCCTCATTTCTTTAAGCACTCGAGCAAGATCAGACAGAGGTCAGGAGAAGGGCTCACAAGCAGTTGGGGACCTGACTGTCCTTGGCTCATTCCTGAACCAAATTACTCTTTCCATTGAGCTTTCAAAGCCCTTCATGTTCTCCAGCTCGTGGTCTTCAACAGTTCCCGTATTGTTCTTTCCATCCACATCCAGCTGGAGCACAGTGTTCCCATGTTCTGGTACTTGCCCAGTACTACACAGTGTTTTGGGGGAAGGTTCCCTCAAAAGACTCTATTCTCTCCAGCCAGTGTATCTGAAGGTACACTGGGTTTATTCCCTCCTCCCCATCTGGTTTAAGCAGTTTGAGAGAGAGAAACTTCAACCTTGAGCCGGGTAAAGCTTAAATCACTTTCAGAGCAGGGGGCTAAAAAGCCTCACCCACTGCAGGCAGCTTGGCCTTTGCTTCACAGAACCACAGAACCATTCTAGTTGGAAAAGACCTTTAAGATCATCGAGTCCAACCATTAGCCCACCTGTCCCCAGCCCACAGCTAACCCAGATCCAGCACCACATCTACAGGGCTTTTAAACACCCCCAGGGGTGGTGATTCAGCCACCTCCCTGGGCAGCCTTTCAGTGACAAATTTTCTTCTAATATCCAATCTAAACCTCCCCTGGTTTAGATTGAGATCAACTCGAGACCATTTTTGCTTTGTCCTGTTGCTTGTTACTCAGGAGAAGAGATTGCTGATTCATTATTTTTTTTCAGTGCCTGCTGGATCTTTTAACACTCCTGGCCCTAAGTCATCTGTCCTTTTAGTTAGTCTATTTCCACATCTTTGGAAATGTTACTCAGCTTGGTTTTTTTCCCCAGCTCACCTCTAACATCCACGACATGCCAGAGTCCTGTTCAGGCTGATTACTTTTCTCTGAAGAATCCTCATACCTTGTGTTTTTTAGCTGCAAAAACACCAGGACTGTTCCTGCAGAGAGCTGCTGTGAAGAAAACAGTATGTTCAGGAATCCTGGATTTTTTAAGAAATATTTTAGTCTTGATGAAAAAGATTGGTTTATGTGTAGTCCTGCAGGCAAATATATATCAACCCTGATATATATAGTAACTTGTTTTGTGGTAATGTCCCTTCCCAGGTCAGGGAACTCAACACATGCTGGCACAGTTTCTATCTTCTGCTTGTCACTAGGATCTCTGCAGGAACATCCAGTGTATTAACTTTGTGTACTTTTGTGCCCAACTGAGACAGGTTGGGTGGATCCTCCTCATGATGTCTGACAGATACAATGCAGCTGAGTAGCCTGTTTGCTCTGAATTCTGCTATGAAAGGTGGTGCATGTGGAAAGTTCAGTGAGTCTTGGCGTGATACCCCAAGGTTGATTTCAGCCTTCAAGTATTGAAAAGCCATTCACTTCATTTGTTCTGAACATCCAGGCTTGAATGGACATCCTGCTTATTTAGGGAAACTGGGTTGTCATGAGCAATTAGGGAGGAGGAGGGTTTGTGTGGCTTCTGACATGGAGTACAGCTGCAGACAGGTGCCTGAAAGCCCAAGGCAGCCTGCCTGGTGATCAGCAGCTCAGGAAGGAGGGGCTCCTCCAAGCAGCCTGGTAACACTGACTTCAAACTGTTCTTCCCCTTCCCCCAGTCCTTGCTAACTCCCTGCTGACTTGCAGGCACCAGTTACCTGTATGTTTGGTGTGGGGTAAGTGGTGTCTGACTAAAAAGCAGCTTGGCTTCTCAGCCAACTGGGTTAAACCTAAAAATGAACCTGAGATCTGCAGCTCCCATAAACAAGAAGGTGTTTACCACCCTTGCTCAGGCCTCTAATAATATTATTCTCAGAAGGCTTTTGATATGCCTTTGAATTGCCTGTCCCTATTTTAAATTGAACATACTTAACCAAGAAATCAAGCTGCTATTTCTTTTTCTAGGTGATTGAACCATTAATCATGTCAGTAATGTGAAAGTTAACAGTTCAGCTCTTATCTGAGCACTTGGACAGCAGCCAATAACAGAGGGAGTTTTCAGGAAAGAAAAGCTTCTTAAGAAGTAATATTCTTGTAGGCTCCCACTTTGTCTTTTTTCAGTGCTAATTTGTTAGTTTTTTCTAAAAAAAAACAGTGCAGGGACTGTTTGGCTGGGTGATCTTAAAGATTTTTTCCAGCCTAAATGGTTCTGAAAGTCTGCTCTATGGCTTCAGTAGCTCATTGTCATTAAATTATGTTGTTGAAACTTCTACTTAAATCAGCTGAGAAACAACTGTAAGTCTGAATTGTGAAATATTTAATCCAACCTGGAAGTTCTTACTTTGCCAGGTGGCTTAGCTACATAATGATGGTTTGTTAACCTGACTGATTAACAAAAATCAGACTGGTTAAGAGTTGCTAGAGAACTGAACTTGTCTGGCTTCATGGCATAGAATATATTTTTCCCTGATAAGTTGGTTTGATTCTCTTTCATTTAACACTTGTTGGATCTAAAAACTGGACTTCACCCTCCCAGGTGATACCATTGTTAAGGTCCCTTGCAACCTTAACCATCCTATGATTCTAGAGTGTGTATGTGTGATAAAATCCTGTTCCTGCCCCAGAGAGCTCAGGGTGTTGAAATACAAGTGTAAGAACATGAGTGCCCTCAGAGGGAGAAGTTACAGGAATTAAAAGCATTGGTAAGACTTGGTAGGATAAGCAAACTTACTTCCCTGTAAAGCTTTTCATGTGGAAGCAAAATGAGGAAACACTTAAGTATGCAAATGTTACAAGCAAATCCCAAATCTTAGGGCAATTTTTTGATTTAGTAACAGCATAAAACTCACGTGTTGATCCCTGCAGTTGAAATCTAACTGATGTCCCAGTGAGATGTTCATATTTGTTCTACAGAATAATTTTGCTACCAGAAAAAACAGGATTTTAAATGCTTGTCTGATCCAAATTTATTGTTCCACCAGCAAAATAACTAACATTGAAAATCTCTGCATAATTGATTTAATTTTTTTTTCCCCCAGAGCAGTCAATGTAGGTACAAGGCTTTTCCTCTTTTGCAGGCTCTGGAGATGTACAAAGATGACTGGAACAAAGTCTCGGAGCACGTCGGGAGCCGCACCCAGGACGAGTGCATTCTCCATTTCCTGAGGCTCCCCATTGAAGACCCTTACTTGGAGAACTCAGATGCATCTCTGGGCCCCCTGGCTTACCAGCCTGTGCCTTTCAGCCAGTCTGGCAACCCCGTGATGAGCACTGTTGCCTTCCTGGCCTCGGTGGTGGATCCCCGGGTGGCATCAGCTGCAGCAAAGGCTGCCTTAGGTATGGCCTCCACCCTGCAGTTTGGTTACAGCTCTTCTCTATGGCTCTGCTCTCTGTTAGTCTTAAAATTGACTCTTGGTGGAGTTGGTCTTTAAAAGTCCCTTCCAACCCAAACCATTCTGTGAGTTTCTTCAGGATGTGGGTAATAAGTTGTGAAAACAAATGGATGTGTGTAGAGAAAGCAGGTCTGCTGGTACCTCCTGGTGCTGTCTTGGTACCGAGACTGCCAGGGTGCAGGCAAGTTGGAAGAGCTCTTAAAGTCCAATGAGTGTCAAAAGATTGAAACACAGTGATCAACATCAATATTCAGCTGGTGTGAAATAATCTGCCACAGTTACATTGACCTCTGAGAAACCAGATGAGGGAGTTCCTTTCACTTTTGTCCTTATTCAACTAACAAACAATAGGACAAGAGGAACCGGCCTCAAGTTGTGCCAGGGGAGGTGGAGGTTGGATCTGGGGAACAATTCCTGCCTGCCAAGGGTTGTCAGGGCCTGGCCCAGGCTGCCCAGGGCAGGGGGGGAGTCCCCATCCCTGGAGGGGTTTCCAAGCCCTGGAGATGGTGCTGAGGGACATGGGGCAGGGGTGGCCTTGGCAGGGCTGGGGGAATGGGTGGACTCCACAATCTAAAGGGCTTTTCCAGCCCAAACAATTTGATTCTGTGATTTTTTCCATGTACAAAACAATTCTATATAACTGGGGAGAGAAGCTTTCCTACCACATTTGAGAGAGAAAATGATCTACCTACTTGGGGAAAGAAGGAACTCGCATACTGGGGAATTTAATTTTGTCACAAGATTTACCAACGCACTGAGCAGAGAAAATCCTGACGTTTCATTTGCCATGAAACCCTCACGATGTGGGATTGTGTGTGTTTGCTAACAGAGGAGTTCTCTCGAGTCCGAGAAGAGGTGCCCCTGGAGCTGGTGGAAGCTCATGTCAAGAAAGTACAGGAAGCAGCAAGAGCCTCTGGGAAGGTGGATCCAACGTATGGATTAGAGAGCAGCTGCATTGCTGGAACAGGCCCGGATGAGCCAGAGAAAATCGGTAAGATGTCCAGCAAGATGCAGGAATCTCTGTTGGATGAGGTTCCTTTGGCATTTTTAGACATTAGGTGGAAATTGTTCACTGTGAGGGTGGTGAGACACTGTTCTGGGTTGCCCAGAGATGCTGTGGCTGCCCCATCCCTGGGGGTGTTGAAGGGCAGGTTGGATGGGGCTTGGAGCAGCCTGGGCTGCTGGGAGGTGTCCCTGCCCATGGCAGGGGGGTTGGAACCTGATGGTCTTTAAGGTCCCTTCCCACCCAAACCATCCTATGATTTTCTTGTGACTTGTAATAAACCATAAGTTCACCTCCAAAACCAGATGAGAATCCCAGGTAAGGAGGGTGTCACAGGTCGTTCCACTTCAGCTTCCTGCAGATTTATTAACTCTTGACACTGAATTAATGAACTTGAGACCAGCCTTAGTTTTAAAAAGAAGTTTTCCTGCTCTTACCACCTGGAAGTGCCATTGCTTAGGATGCTTGGAGTTGAGTGGGGAAAAAAAACCCAGAGCAGAAGGTTTCATACCAGTTCTGTGGGTATTGGAGTCATTAGAGGATGCTGAATTATAGTTAAAATAAAGCAGTTTTATTAGCTCTTTGTGCTGCAGCTGAGTCTATAATGTGAAATCACAACTTTGATGAGTTTACACCTAAGTCTCACACTCTGAGCACGTTGCTAGCCATGGTGGTCTGGCAGAAGAGGAGGGTTTGATGAAATGGTGGAGTGGCACTTGGTGATGCCACAGTTCCCAGCTCTGGCTGGTGCACATTACCCTGCTGTGGTAACAAGCTCCCAGGTTGGAGCTCAGGGTCAGCTGAGGTTTTCTGTAGCATTCAGCAGATACTCTGGTATGAAGTTCCAGTATCTGGAGCTTTGACAGGTGCAAGTTTTGTGTTCATTACTATGGAGAGTAAAAGTATTTCTTTTGGAAATTCCCTACAAAGTGTAACCCTCTCTGTTTAACTCTGTGTTGGTCTCCCTCAGCAGTAACTAAGTAGACACACAGTTTGCTATGTTCCTGC